CTGTATCAATCAGAAACTAGATCTTAAGATCATTTAGATCATTTATATTTTTCAGTAGTGACAAACTTAAAACTCTAAGTTTAAACTATTATTAAAAGATTGACTCTTAGTGTTTATGATTATCTAGTGTTTGTTATTTGCAAACAGAGGTCTTTATAATAACAAATGTTTGGATAAATTTAATATTATACTCTACTACTATCTATATATACTATCGTAGATAGTAAAGTCCTATTCATTCATACTGTTTTATTAGAACAATTCCGATTAAAAATATCAATGATGAGCGCGTTACATTATTTAGTAAATAATGTCTGTATAAATAGCTCTAGATTATTGAAGTTCACTTACCTATGTGACGTAGAAACGTGTCCCCATCGATGCTTCGCGGTTGAATATGATTTGTGACAAAGATCACATTGGTACGGTCGCTTAAACGACGTATGATCGTCAGTGATAACTTTTTCACCGATCACGTCGCCCTCGCCCACGTGAATCCTCGCATGCAGAGATAAATGACCTTTGGAGCTGAACGCTTTGCTGCATAGAGAACAGACGTAGACCTCGTGCTGTTGAGACGTATGTTGAAAGACTGCGGTGGTATCTTGAGGAGTCGCGGTGACATTTTTCGTCTCGCATTCCTCATTATCCTCGGTCACCATCGGTGTCATCTCCAAGAAGTCGCTAGGATTCGTCTCCATGTCCATCTCATATTCGTATTCTGACCTTCGGTCCTCCGAGTCATCGACCACTGTCGCTTTACATCAAATAAGATACATAAGCGACTATCACGGAATAAGAAGAATAAGAAGATGCAGAACATGTCGAGCGTACCTTCATCTGTACCTTCACTTGTGTCGAGGATCTCTTCGACCTCGGGATCCGCTTCACCATCGGAATTTAGTCTCGGTGGTGTGCCTAACGCTGCATTAGGATTGACTACAGGTGCCTCCGGAATAAGGACTGGTGTGTTTTTCTTCTCCTTGAGAAACTCCGCGTGCATCTCGTCGCACTGCGCGGTATTATTTGCACCGTCATCATTCGCCTACGACACACAAAATGCTAAATTGTTGGCACTCATGTAAAACAGTGTATCTCTACGGCTATAACATCGATATTCTACTATCACTACTACTACTCTGCTTTTTTTCTCAAAAATGAATGCCTTTCTGTTGCAGTATGCTCAGAAAAATGTTAGAAATAACACTATTATCATGTGGCATCTATAAACTATCTTAAATAAACTTTTTATATATGCACAGAATACAAAATTCGAAATTATTACAAATTCACATTGGAGAATTTTTTAATATGCAGTTGAAACTGCCAAAAATGCCACTTAATATCTCATAACAATGTGAAGCGAAAAATAGTATACCTGTTAAGTAAACTTATATTAAGAAGCGCGAGATAAAACGGCGGGGAAAAACACATCAAAGTACAAAATTAATTAATGCAAGAATATTCCCTCGACGATCAAATGGAAGGAAATAGAAGGATTGAACGTGTTTTGTTGTAAAATCGAAACACTCACCGCTTCTCTTGGTTGACATCTCCTTAATAAATCAACTGCATTAACACACGCAGTTCTAAAATCGTAAAAATTCTCCAAATTAAAAACGCATCTATGACACAAAGATTTCGGCAAACCATCGTCTTCCGATATCTGAAACATAGCAATTGTAATGTTTCAGTAAGAAACTAATCAAACTACAACACATGTCGATATTTAGAGAGCAATGGAAATTACATTAATTCCATTCTTGCCCATAAAATTTTAACAGAAACAAATAAACCAGTCGACACGATCGCTTGTACAACAAAATATTTCTTTATCATTTGTTATTTGCGTCATCATATGGGACAGCTTTCACTTATTCGAAAATGTTTATATTTATTTTTTTTGCACATGTCATTTTTAATTATAAATAAAAAATAAAAATTTTAAAATAAACATTTGAACTTCGTACAAAGATTGTCGCGGCGATTCTAACTACCTATTTTATACTTTAACTGACTTATTATCAATGACCCTTTTTGTTTTTTGTCTTTTTCTCTCATCAATACGTAACTGCGTGATTGATAAATAATAAACAAACGTTAAATTTACCAACAAATATGTTGTTTTTAAGAAAAAACTCTGAAAAAAATATAGCAAACATCAAGAATTTTATATTTGTGTTTAGCAATTTTTTTCATCGTGTATTTCTGATGCTATGAAGCGTCCAGTGATGCGAATTTTTAATTGTGAATTAAAGCATCTTATCAATCAATAAGTCGTGTGCTTTTTTGCGCGCGCTATACAAAAAAAAGGACCTTCGATATATTTGACCAGTCTATCATGTGTCATCACCGAATCCAAGTAACTGGATTCAAGGCAATTAATTTATCTTGACATATGCCGCAAGGATGAACAGCAAATAATACTGAGAAATAAAATGCGATTCATTTAAAATCTAAAATTTTGTTGATATCGAATTTACAATTTTATTTTACAATTTTCGCCATTTTAACTAACGTTAAATTTATTGACCATTATTATTATGAAGAAAACACTTTTATGTACATTTTAATAACACATATAATTATTATTATATTATACGTTATTTAAAATTACAAAAATTCTGTGGAAAATTCAAGATGAAATGTTCACATCACCAGAATAAATCTTTTTTTAATGAGCATTATATCGTTACCGATATCTTTTAATTAATTATTGCATCGTTAAAATACTGCAATTCCATGCAATACAAATGATTATCGAAATATACCGTCACCGACGAGTGTCTCGCAATAAATTAATTTCAGTAAACATATCTTAGAGATGCGATCTATAATTTCAAGACGTGATCATCAGGCTCCTCAGAGACTGCTGAAAATTCCTTGTTTAGAAAATAGTGCGTGTTAATCCTTAATCAATTTAGTAAATTGAAATTTTGATTACTGCCCGACACATCATATAAAATTATCAGGAAAACGGAAGAAGACAAAAGAGGGCGATCTCAAAATATCTCATTAAAAAGTAACAAACTCTCAATACATTCGCGTGTGATGATGAAAACAAGGATCAATTTTCGCGGACTAATCACGTTCCTGAGCGCGAGTGTTCGCGTTTCTCTGGAACTTTCGCGAGTGGATTGTCTTTGTCCGGGTTAAGACTTGGAGCGCGCAAGTTCCGGCGGTTTCCACCGGATGCGAAGTTAATAAAGGGACGATAAACCGATGTGTGTGACGGAGGGATGATGAACGCATCGTAGTGCACGAGGAAATTCGGAGCGCGCCGGAGGAGATGACCAGCCGCGCGTTCCAACTACGCATTAAAGAGCTGGTTTGACCCGGCGGCTGCGACGGCGATAACGTTCGTCGCCAGTCCAAGCCTCGTGGAGGAGCATGAATGCCGTGGCGGAAAACAAAATGTCGCCGGCGTGTCGCGCGACGAGGCGTCCCTCCTCGAGGATCGAGCGTCGTGAGAGCGAGCGAGAGACCGAATGAGTGAGCGAACGAGCAACAGGGAGAGAGAACGAGATAGAGAGAAAGAGACAGAGAGACTCATGAACAAGATGCGCGTCGGGTCGTTACTGGGTGAAGGTTTCGTTCTCGTTGCCGCTACATTGTCGTTCGCTCGCTCGCTCGTCCGTCGTCATATTGTCCTCGCTCGAGAACGATTCCACTGGGTGGATATTCGTCACCGAGGACATCGTCGCACTCGGCAAGCGCTATGGCCGACGATGACGACGGGAGGGAAACCTTCACCCAGTAACGGCCTGTCGACGTCGAGAAACTCGTCCCTGAATCTCTCTCTTTCTCTCCTTCTTTCTTTCTCTCTCTCTCTCTCTCTCGCTCGCTCGCTTTTTCTTTTTCTCTCTCGCTTCCACGCGATATACCATCTCGTTTTTCGGGAGAATGGAATCGAGGACGAGACGTGTTATGGGCCAACATGTGCAAGGTAAATTATTCAAAGGCGTAAACGCGCGAAATTGTATACGTGAGAGTGAAAGAGTGAGAGAGAGTGGAAGAGTAAGAGAAAGAAAGAGAGAAACAGGGGGAGAGAGAGAGAGAGAGAGAGAAAAAGAAGCGAGATACAGCAGGGTATCACAGGAGATAAAGAAAGCAGGAGAAATGCGAAAACGAAAGAGAAAATAGTAAAAGCGTCAGCTTGACAAACAGGATAACATCGGTAGCGTGAAGAATGCGCGTAACGTGAACAAAGAGAGAAGGAACTTACCTTGAACTGTAGGCACGCCTGGATCTTGTCGGCGAGCTGTCGATCTTTGCCGTCCGGACCGAATATGTCGACTTTAACGGCATTGTAGGACGCGCACAGACGACAGAGCTCGTCGTAACTCACTTTCGACTCCATCGTCGTCATCGTCACCGTTGTCGTCACCGTCGTCGTCTTCGTCGTTGTCGCGTTGCCGATATCGTCAGCGCCGTTACGACGCGACTCTCTACTTCTCTCTCTCCCTCGCGAAGAACCTCACGCACGTCCTTCTCTGTCCTTCGTTCCCGTAGCGGCGTCGACGGCGAGTCTCTACGGGACGACGCACAACGTGCCGTCGTTTCCACTGCCGCACACACACTCACGTACTCACGCGAGCACGCACTCACCCGGACGGGCGAGAACTATGATGGACGCCCGTAGTAGTCACGTACACGCCGAATGAACAGACCGTCCGGGACGAGTTCCTTCAATGTTGGCCAGTGCGGCCGACTACCCTCTCCCTCAGTCCCGAGAAGCCCACTTCGTTGTCTCGTCGCCTACCTGCGTGCCCGTCCGTCGCGCCAACTAACCACCCGCGGGGCTAAGACGGCTCAGGTTGCTACCTGCCTTCTTCGTCGTTCTTCTGGCCACATCCTTTGAGAAGACGACGACGACGCCGCCGCCGCCGCCGCCGATGCTGCGATGCTCGGCTAGCTGCGATGCCGCTCTACCCGGGCCAGGCGCACACTGCACCGCACCACACCACACCACACCGCACCGCCCGCGCCGCAGCGCAACGCAGCGCACTACACCGCCGCACCGCACCGCACCGTACCGGTTGGTCGGTCGGTCGGTCGGTCGGACGGATGGACAGTTGTTCGTTCGTCAGGTCGTCAGCTCGCCGTCGCAGTGGTAAAAGCGCGCACGTCGGCCTCTGCCTCTGCCTCTTCGCCGCGTTCTCACACTTCACGCGCCCGTCGCCGCAGCGCACCGCCACTCGCCGCTACTTCCTGGCGATTCTCGCGACAGTGAGAGCCCCGGGCGCCGCCATCTTGTATACAGACACTTGTTTCGACGCCGGCGATGAGAAGCGATGCCGTCCGGCGACTCCGTTGTCGCCGAGAACGCGTATCACGGCGACGCGTCCGAGCGCACGATCCGTCTCCGCCGCCGCCGCCGCCACCGCAGCCGCCACCGCTACTCCTCGACCGGCCGCCGCGCACTGCCTGGCGCGCGTTTTTTTTCGAAACGCTCGCATTATCGCCGACCCAGCGCGTACCGCGTGCGTACGTGCGTGCATGCGTGCGTCCGCTTGTATGTATGCACACGGCGCGACTCAGCGGTGCCGTCACGATCGCCGATTATACCATGTGAGCTAATCAACACGATATTATTCGCCGGAATTTGAATGTTTCGCGGCGCGGATTAGGGCTGAATCACGCGGACACGTCAGCAGCAGCGAATCAACCAATCGCAGTCGAGAATCGTCGTGAACGTTAAGGCTGAGCAACTTTCGCGCTAAAAGCGTCGTTCTATCTTCCTTCATTTTCCTTCAGCGATAAAGATAGAACGATGCTTTCAACACGAAGCATGCAAAATGAACTCAGTCTAACGTTTATTCACACATTAAAGTTTATCCATATAAACTTGCATAATGCAAGGAAAGAGACCAATCGTGGGTGGGATACAGAGCATATTGTTTATCGGATTGCAATTGGTTGATTTTCTCGTGCGCATTATGCATTATATGAAGTTCGTCTTGGTAGAACTTCATGGCCAACGGCGGATATTTCTCTCTCAATGAGCTTTAAGATATATCTAAAGCTCGAATAAATAAATTCATAAAATCGAATAAATTTATCTTTTCTCTTTGAGAATTAGTAAAAGAACAAGTTTTCTTAGCGGACGCGAACGCGTCCCGAAATTGATCGAAGTAAAATGATTTTCATGAAATTTTGGTTATGCTAATCATAAACTAATCAAGTTGGCAAAATTCCCAACATAAAAGTAAAAGACAATTTCTTGTTAGAATGAGTAAAAATCATGTTCTCTTTATGTGTATTTAACATTACTATCAGTTCCCTTTCACACTAGCTGAGAGAGGGGAAAAGAAAGAAAGAGGTTATATTATTAGAAGTGACTCTTATATAATTTTATTTTCCTCTATAGACCCATTTTGTAGATCTATTACTCACAGAGATTTAAAAATCATAATTACACATTCTTATTATTGTTAATAGACTACATGTACAGGTCTTTTGAGCCATAACTATATAGCTTATAGCATATAGCCACAACCACTGCATAAATACTAAAAACTGATATTTTTATGTAAACAAGTGACGAACAACACGTTCCGCGAATATATTAGGATCAGTGTGTGCAAAATGTTCACCAAACAAGGGATCCCTGTATTGATTTTCACCATCCAAAAAGTATATTGGCTCTCCATAGTATGTACCAACTTCCCATCTCTCGACATCCTTCATCAACTCTGCCTCATACTCTCGATTACGTCTCATTGTCTTTAAAACACTAAAAGAAAAATCCTATTAAGACTTTAAAAAAATTATAAGTCTCATTAAGTATTATATCATATAGTATCATTCAAGTATTTAATTTTATTGTGATATGTAAAACTAAATGTAGAACCCTTACGATCTGTCACGCTCTGCTAGCAACAGTGGCCATATAGCAAAATGTGCACTCCTCATTTCGATTTCTTCTTTTTTAATCTTCTTATAAGTCATGCCATAGCCATACATCCCAAATAAGGTGCTAGCTACGAGAAGCCCAAACGTCTTTTTTGCTACGAAATTTTATAAGAATATTATATTGAGATATACAGTTCTCAGAATTTTTAAGCTACAAACAAAATCGATAATGAAATTGTTTACCATTTAAAACGCTACGTAATTTAGTCCTTTCGGTTTGGAAAGGGGCATAGCCTCCTTTCGGTGGAAGATCTTGCGTTCTAGTAGAGGACGTAGCACTCATATCGTCGTCTTTCCTCTTTCTTAACAGTGTCAGAAAAACTAGAGCATAGCAAGCATACAAGATTATCCTAATACGATTCCAATACGATTATCCCGAAAACGTCAATGTAATCATGTAACGTTTCACTTGCTGTTCTTCCTCAGAAATATTAGTACAAAAAGATTGCGTTCCGAAATTCACTGCCAATACTGAAAATCTATAATTCATGCTACGTATACTATAGAATTTCAGCACTGGCAGTAAATTTCGGAACGCAGCCAAACACTTGTGTCGTTCTCGTGCAGATCGTTTTCAATTGTACATACGTAAACTTTGTTTAGGAACTATGCCACTAGAGGCTACTAATGATTCCTGCACATAGGACGCGGTAATGCTTGCCGCGCAGTGGAAGTTCGTGCGACAGCCAATCAATATGCTGCTTTCCGTAATAACCTTCTAGCTCTTACGGAAAAACAACATATTGATTGGCTGTTGCGCGGACTTCCGCCGCGCGGCAAGCATTACCGTGTCCTGTGTGCAGGAGGCAAAGGCTGAGTTTCCACTGAGCGCGTTATGCGTCGCGTCGTTTGCCTGCGTCACGAGTTAACCAATCAAATTATTCCATTGGAACAAGTGCGTCGTACGTCGCGCGCGCGTCATCCCAATTAGAGGATTTGATTGGTTAACTCGTGACGCAGGCAGACGACGCGACGCGTGACGCACTCAGTGGGAACTCTGCCTAACCGTTTGCTGGATGGAAATATTCCATACCATATAACATTTCAGTGTTACTTACAAATGTTTTTATTGTTCTTGTAGCATTTTTATATGCTTGAGTTTCGATTTTTTCACTATCAAATACAATAATAGCATAAACAAGTAAAGACCAATGTTTGTAAAACACTGAAGGAAGCACATCCTTTAAACAAGACAAAATAATAAATTAAAAAATTTTTAAATTCCGAAGCTTTTCATTGACTTGTATTACTTATTGATTGTGGTGTACGTGTTATTTCACACGGTGATAATATTTTTGATAATCTAGTATCAAAGATTTTCAATTTTGTTCCAATGTACCATGGCTTCCTGCAGTTCTTTGGATCAATCCAAGTTGATAGAAATAGTTTTATAACAAAAGAAGAAGGTTTTAATTTGAGATTACTGATTTAGTAAAATTTCTGTTACATTTTAGTTTTGTAAAAAAAGAAGAGAATTTTAATTTGAGATTACTAATTTAGTAAAATGTCAGTTACATTTGAGTTTTATAAAAAAAAAGAAAGAAAGCTTTAATTTCAAATTAATATATAATATACAATAATATTAATAATGTTTAATATTATATTCATTGAGTGTTAGAGTATAAAACTAAATATTATAAAATTCAACGATTATAATAATTAATAAAACTAAAAGTAGGTATATAATTTTAATAAATAATTTTTCTTATACAAATATTGAATTTTATTCTCATTTAATGTATACATTTTAGTATTATTGTATTTTATTATTTTCATACACTTTAAGATCACAACAAATAATTTTTTGTCAATTTGAGTTGTTTAACTTGAGTTAACTTTATGACACGTAAAAAAGTTTTAGTCATAATCGTAAAGCTGTAAGCAACCCGACCAGCAATTACAGTACATTTTATTATGTTATAAGAATGCTTGACTATAATTGGTTGATTTGCTTCCCTTATAGAAATATCATACTAAGAATCATTACTTATTTTCAGTATTAAAAATACAGGATAATAAGTAATTATCAATGATTCTTAGTATGATATTTCTATAAAGGTTACTGCAACTTACGATTGTAACTAAAACTTTTTCACGTGTCATAAAGTTGATTCAAATTGAGAGTAAGGGCCTATCCAGACAAACTTGCGTAATCGCATAAACATATGCATAAAGAAATTGATTGGTCCAAGGAAATGAAACAATCAATTTCTTTATGCATACGTTTATGCGACTATGCAAGTTTGTCTGGATGGGCCCTAACACTCAAATTGAATGTCACTCTCAAGTTAAGTGTCACTCTCAAGTTGAGCGTCACTCTCAAGTTGAGTGTTCGAATTAACACTTAAATTGAGTGTCTTTTTGAGTGTCTTTTTAAGTGTCTTTTTGAATGTTTTATTAAGTGTTTTTTCCGTAAGGGTTCGCAAATGGTTTTTCGGTTTTCCTGTCTTTCATTCAGTTCATGTGGAACCCATTTTCCCATCTTCTGGATCTTTCCCATGGCTTTCAAACGTATGGAGATGGCTTCTCGTGTCACATTTAATTGATTCGCGAGTTGTTGCGTTTGAGTGTCATCCTCATCCAACAATGCTTGCAATTCGCTGTTTTCAAATTTTTTCGGTGGTCTTCCACGTTCTTCGTTTCTCACGTCAAAATCGCCACTTTTTAATTTTTTAAACCACTCAAAGCACTGTGATTTACCAAAAGCATGCTTACCGTAAGCTTCGACAAGCATTCGATGCGATTCTGTAGCAGTTTTCTTCAAATAGTAACAGAAAATCAATGCTGTCCGCAAATCGTAGTTTCCAGGCACAAAGTTCGACATGTTCAACGCTATTACAAACTATGCTGTTGTATGAAACTTGTATTGTTGTGAGTTGAAAATCTTTGTCAGAGATGTCAACAAGGAAATGGCGCCAATGACGCGGTTTGACGGTAACTACATTGATAGCTAGGGCCATCTATGGGCAAATTCCGATTTCATATTTACAGACCTGGTATATCTTTAGGATATCCTTATGATATATTTTGAACACTTCTGCTGTATGGGTTATATTTTTTTCAGTATATTATAGATTTTTTTCAGTATATTATAGATAATTAAGGAAAAGTTATCCAAAGAGAGAGTTTTATCAAATTGGTACTACTTTTATATAGCTCAGATACATCCTTAAGGCCCATATTCTGAATTCTCTTTTATCTATAAAAGTGCCTCTAAAAGAGGTTTAGGAGTCACCTGATTGGCTGAGAAGCTACATTAAAGGCACTTTTACCGATAAAAGAGGATTCAGAATATAGGGCTAACGCCCGTATTCTGAATTCTCTTTTAACGATAAATGAGCTTCTAAAAGTGACTCATAGCCAATCAGAAAGCTTATAAGCCACTTTTAGAGACTCATTTATCGTTAAAGAAGAACTCAGAATACGGACCTAAGACTCCAGAAGGAGTCATAGAAATAATACCTATGCTACACGCAGATACACTTGGACATAAAATGTATACGTAAATAACCCAGTACAGTTAATATTATCCTCGCAAAGAATGCAACAGTATGTTTACGAAAGAGAGAGGAGCTAAAGAGTGTGATTAAAAAAAGTTGTAGCTTTACGACATTTCGACCAATCAAGTCTCTGAAATTAGCAACATCATTGGTTAGAACACACTAATCGTATCGCGTGCAGCTCGTCGCTTCCGTGAAATCTCACCTTGTTGCCGATCATCTTGATCGAACGCGAATAACTCCATCTGTGAGTCACGACACATAATGGGACGTTCAGTGTTAGTTGTATACTGAGAGAATTCGTGAGAGATGGTGCTGAACGAGAAATATTGAGATTCTATCGAATAGGTACGTGAATTAGGCGTGAGTAATATTTTCATTTTTCATACACGACAACCCGATTATGACCGGGATGCGACGCGAACAGTCCGCGGAAGACACGTATGCGTCGGCCAGCGTCTATCGTCAGACCTCTAGAGACTGATCGCGATTACAATGTCCCTGCTGAACTTGATCTGTCTCGATTGTCCCGCACTTTCAGTCACGCCATAGACTCAGTTTCTGAGTACTCTTGAACTTTTCGATCACAAAAATGTGTGTCCTTTAACATGGGTCGATAAGACGCGGACGAAACGTTCTTTATAACTCCACGATATGTGATATGTGAGGTAGCGCATAGCTACGAATCGTGCATATGGCTCTTTGCGGCCTTGAAGAACGAAGGAGGGTGGATCGGTCTGCTACACGCATTGCGCTGATACAATTTTGTGAACTGTTTTGCGGGACTCGGGATTTCTCCTTTTTCCCTCCCGATTGTAGAATTGTAAAAGCGCGGGCGATATTGTGGCTTGGTGATTTTATCTGAAGATTGCATTTGAAATAAAGTGACAAATAATAACAACTTTTATAGAGGTATTAAAAAGCTCTATATTAAAATGTTTACATTTATGAGATCAAAATCTAAGTGTATTATATTATTTCATTGTTGCTAATTTGGAACTCTAAATTTCTCAACTTATTTTACATGTGAAAATAACACGTTTTTCTTTTATTAACCAATTATTATATAATTTTATTAAATTGTTGATTAGATGTGTTGACATTTTCACCGCTCACTTCATAATGGAGTTGGGGGAAAAATCACTCCCTTCACGGGGATTAAAACAAGTAAAAGTGGACAATTGGGGGACATTCTTCCTTCAGAGACTTCAACAAATTTATGCTGATGAAGAATTGTTTGATCTTAAGATCAGATTTCCTACAAGTGAAATTACTGTACAGGTAAATATGACACGCATAAATTCTATAATTAGGATATATATGTTATATATATACAAAATATATATTAGCGAATATATATATATATTTTTATAAAATAGAATAATAATAAAATAAAAAAATATAATTAATTTTTGAAAACCTATTTTGCAGAATATATCACTAACTTTATCAATGATATCTCTAATTGAATTACTTCCTCAGGCACATCGGCTTGTGGTATCAGTATGTACAGACTATTTTATAAAATTGGCAATTCAACAAGAAGAGAAGAATGAGAACTATGATGGTATAATTGTTATGCCTTCAGACATGCCTTACGAGTGTGTTAAGTCTATCATAAGGTATATATGAAATGCTGAGGAATTGTTGGTATTGCTTGAAAAATTTCCTACAGTGTATTTTACTAAATATCAATCTCTTGTAGCTTTATGTATACTGGACAGTTAGAGTATTGGACGTCAGAGCAACATGCACTATATCGTACAGCACAAAAGATGAATATGACAGTGCTGACAAAGTTGCTCGATGCTCAATTTAATACAAGCCCTTTACAAAATGAAGCGCCCAAGTCCACTGTGCGTCCAATCATCGCCGTCTCAAAACCTCCAACACCAGCTGTGAAAGTCACCACCAGCTCCTCGACTAGCTCCTCTACTAGTTCGACATCTAGCGCCATATCTGAGCAGCCATTACCAGGTAGAAAGTATGTATTTTAATTATGTTTAACATCCATAATTCTGCTTGGAACATAATTGAATATTAATGATCCTTCTTGTTAAAGACTACCAATTTGGAAGAGGAAAATAGAGGAATCGCCTTCGACAAATTATGAATTACGAACATTCCATAGCACGTCGTCGATCAGCAGACCCGTCGAAACGACTCCGGGACCATCGAGATTCGATCTCCCGGAAGCAGACGAGATCGCTCTCGGAGTGTTCTCCTCGTTCGACGATATTACATACAACACGAAACCCATCGTTCAAGCGTCCGATAAATACAAAACTGGAAGCTCCCGTAAAAATTCGCCGGACAGAGACAGTAGAAACGACACGACCGAAGACGAGGACGACGACAATCAAGGGAATGACAAGAATCTGCGAGACACGAATTCGGACGACGATTGGAGCATAACGCAACCTTTCCAGAGATCCCAGGAAGGATCAGCCAAGAAGAAGGTGCGTTTCGATTTGGAGGAGAAGGAAAACGTGGAGAAGCCTAAGTCGAACGCTCGACCAAGTTCCGAGGATTCCATCAATAATCACGCCAAGATCATCAGAGAGGTGTTGAAAAAATATCCCCATCTGGTGAAGAACAACAAAAACATTCGCCTAAAGATCATGCAGAAGGAGACCAAGTCTTCCGATAGTAGCGCCGCGTGCAAGACGAAAGTGTCTTACGTAGTGCTGAAGTCCGACCACTTGTTATCCAGCAATAACGGCGAAGAAGGCGAGTCCAATAAGTGCAACGGCACTATCGATGGCAACGAAACTGGTCCATGGAAGTGCAACAAGTGCGACATAGAGGAGGAGTACACTAATTATTATATGTACAGAAGACACATGCAGGATGTGCATGAAGAGAAGTTCGACCCACGTGTCTGCGAGCATTGTGGTTATAAGGCCACTAAACGCAATATCTTGATGTATCATTTGTACACTAAGCATAACGTGCCTCCGCCCAAGAGCCTGTGTTTCCCGAAGTGTCAGTCCTGCTCATACGTTGCCCTGTCGGAGAACCTGCTAGTGCGACATCAGATCAACCATAATCATAGACCAGCCAGCCGACATCACTCGTTGCCCGCGGAAGATATCCAGTGCAGTCAATGCAATCAATCATTCAGAACTCTCACCGAGCTCACGACTCACCAGCTGAACACTGGCCATGATAGTATGGCAGACAGCAAAGAAAAGGGCCACCGTTGCCCGTATTGCGGCAAGATGTTCGTTCTAATGACGAACCTGCAAGTGCATCTAGATTGTAGTCACAAAGAAGTGCGAGATGCGGAGAATGCCTCTACACCGCCGATCTCCTTGGAGCCGTCGTCCGAGGCGGAAGCGCTCAGTCATGTCGCCAGCGGCATAGCCGCTTCCCTCGGTGTGGGAGACACGGTTACGCCTGAGCCGCAGGAAAGCTCCAGCGACAACCAATTCGTTGTGCCAGAGATACTGGAAAACATCAGTCATAACATAAGCTACAACGAGCACGAGCTGGAAGGGCAGCAGATGATTATGCTGGTGAACAATGAGAATTACCAGCAGGTCGAGAACGATCATCAACAACAGCAGCCGCAGCAACTCGACATCGCTGACAACGAGCAGATAGTGATGCAGGGAACTGAGGACGGGATGATTGTATACATTCACGGCACCAAGGACTCAGAACGCCGTTCTTATGAGAGTTATCAATCCGAAGACATTTCGCAGGAGGGCGAGGAGATAGTCGAGGAAGTCGTCGAAGAGGTCGAGGAAGAAGTGATGGAAGAAGAAGAGGAGTTGCAAGAGGTACCGCAGGACATGTTGGAGGACTGTGCTGATAATCAGGTGGAGGAGGTGATACAATACGTCGAGGAACAGGAAATTGTGGAGTACGAAGAAGAGCAGTGCAGCGAGCAAAGCAACACCACGGATGAAGTTCACGAATCCGTCATGATCATCGAGGAAGAGCATGTCGAAAGGGAGGATGAGGAGGATACCGGCAAGCCTGCAAGCAAACGACGTAAGAAGATGCGGAGCTTTGCCGCCGATTGGGACGAGGATAGCATGAGCGTAACGGAATCATGAATACCATAACGTCGGATTTTTCGTTTGCTTGCAATATGTTATTAACTTTCACGACGATTTTAACGAGACATTAAGCGCTTTCAGTCGTTTCTTTCTACGTTTACCTGCGTAATACGTTTGTTCGTTAGCGGATTAGTGGCGGATAGTAGGTTGATGTCGACCTATGTCGTGAAGAAAAATTTAGCGATAAGGCGCGGAGGATTTCAAATTAATCAAACCATTCATTACATTTATTGATAAGCAACAGGGACTAAAGGTATAGTTCTCGACGATACTGCTACGTGTGAATTTTATTCTTGCACAAACACATTTGTGTCTTCTGGATTATTTTTACATATGGTTCTTTTAAGTTTCGAACAATTCACTTGTTGACATCATACGGGACAGAGTCGCACTTATAAGGCCATTTTGGAAGAAACTCCTTCAGACAAATCTTTCTATTTTATATCATACAATGTATGAAATTGCATAGGCAGAAACGAACTCTGCCATGCCTCTCACAGATCTTCTAAAATCAATATTCGGCATAATATGAGATTTAATATTTTGCATTATTGTAACGAAAAAATGCAGTCATTATCATCTTCATTGTGGTAGCATTTTTGTAAGTGTAAGAATTTATTAGATTCGACTTTAAGGTTTTTATTCTAAATTTTTATATCGGTAAAAGTGTTTCTGAAATTGACTTATGAGTTTTCTGATTAGCTTTCAGTCATATTTAAAAGCACTTTTATTTATAAAAGAGAATTTGGAATAAGGCCTGGCTGCAGTAACAGAATAATAAGCTAACAGTTAAAGTATATATCTATTTTTGTTTATTTTAAAGTAAAAACAAAAGATAGATATGTAATTAAACTGTTAGCTTACCATCCGGTTGGTGCAACCGGATCTAATAGTGTTTTCGACTGAACGGATTTTGATCGATCCAGGGTCGGTTAATGATGTCATAAGTCTACTAGTCAATCATAGGGCTTAGTAGGCAGGGTAAAAACTTGAACGCTCCATTAATCGACCTTAGGTCCGTTCAGTTAAAAACGCAAATATTTTATCTTTTCTTTTTCAACACGAGAACATTTATATACATGTAGCTTACATAAATATATATATTACACTTATTAATTAAGGTTTAAATTTATTTCACAAGACGTCAATATTCTCCCTAATCCGATATGAACTTTTGAAATTATTTTATAGTAATTCATTGGTAAAGCGATGACAATAGTCTGACTTAATGAAGGTTCAGACGTATCTTTTATTTTTTAGTAGTACAAAACAGCTGATCGGTGGACCTTTAATTCACATGGACGCCACTATGAGCCTCCACTGTCCCACATCCAATCCAAATGCAAACGTAGTGCGACTCAATGGCATATCGGGAGGATTTCATCAAAAAATTTTTTTAATTTCGCGCTCCATCTTAAAGACGACGGAGACTGCGAATCCGTAATGTCGTTTCTCGATTTCGCGAGATTTATTGCTTTCTTCTGGTTTCCTCCCATAAGAGTCATCGGTTATCGCCAATTGCGAAATCGCTATCGTGTTTAATATCAATTGCGACTTGTTTATCGAAAACTGTCAGGCCTATGAAACTCATTGCCGGAAAACATAAGCGTGATAACGAAAAGAAGGAAGGAAGGGAGGAGAAAAAACGTCATCTATCAAGGTCTGTCTCTTTCAACTACTCCTTGTTACACTTTCTGTACATACTTGGCATGAGACAATAAAACGCTCATTCATCCTGTCGTCTCATATATTTCGCACTTATAACGAAACGTATCTATTATTTAAAGAAGAAGAAAGAGCAAAACGCGAAAAGCGCAATTTTTAAATAACTTTAAAAGCAGATTTTTAAGTTATACTCGGATTCCAACGGAGAATTCCAAAGGGGAAAAGAAAAAACTCGCGAAAACGAGAAGAGTGCAGCAGGTGCAATTAGGAATAAAGATCGATTTACATCGTAAAAATGGCAATAAAATGGCACCGTAATAATGACTATGTTCCGTACATATGTATGCGCTCATTTTCGATAGTTACGTGACATAAATTATAGAGAAGTATGCGTATTATAGAACGCAATTCCAAAATCTAAAATATGATTAACTTGTTTAGGAATTTATTGGAAACTGTTGTTTTCAGCAATTTTAAATAAGGTAATTTGCATTTACATACTACTAAAAACACACGTTATTAGCAATATATATATATGTTACTGCTGGTGTAAACCGCTCGTGAACTTCTGTTCATGGTGTACAGTCATCTCCAGTAGTCGTCGGTGCGCTATTCGAGGTAACACGGAGTGTACACAGACTGAACGTTGCGTGAAGTGTATCGCAGTGCAAGCGCGCAAATGTCAGAAGACCCGTGGTGGAAGAAGGCGAGAACGTAGGAATGCGACCGGACGCAGTCCGGCAATTTGAATTATTTTCGCAGCTGTGAGGAAACTGTTTAGCGGAAACGCCGAGGTCGTCGCGAATTGTGCACAATGGAGGGCCAGCAGGTACGTAAAATTACGTCGACGGGGAAAAGCGACTGTACAACTGTTGCTGCGAGTTCGATCAACTCGACTGCGCTATGACTCATTCTATTACGAACAAGTCGACTAATTCCTCGTCGTTTGTGTCTCGCGCGCGCGTCAACACTCCTCGCTGTTTTCTCCGCTTTTCGGTGACTCCTCTGCTTCTTCTTTCAGGTAAGAGCGCTGTACGACTTCACTGGTGAACCAGGAACAGCGGAATTGTCCATTATTGCCGGCGAGCTTCTGACAGTCATGCGAGACAACGTAGGGGACGGCTGGTGCGAGGGATTTAATCAGACTGGCCAGTCTGGCTTGTTTCCAGCTGCATATGTTCAAGTGGTTGAGCAGGCTGCACCTCTTTCCAGTAAGCAGTATTTATAAGATGCATAAGGTAAATGTCCCAGTAATTGAACTTGTCCTAATGATTGAGACATTAACAATATATTTGTATTTAACATTTCTAAAAGAATCTTTGGAAATTTGAAAGATACTTTATGTCAATTTGTAATATTATAATGAACATTCAATCGATGAGTATTATTTCACCATCACACAGGATATTATTCATTTCTTAGTTCAATTACTGGGGTATATCTGGCATTATCTAATGTTTTATTAAAATTCTCATTGATATTTATTGATTATTTTATTTCCTATTATTTTTTAATCACTGGCAAAGCAAATTGTATTATATAAATGTCAACATAATTAATAATTTCATGAATTATTTATTAATAAAAATGTGAAATTGATGATATTCTCTTATTAGTTCAGTCATTGGGACACCTACCTTAATTAGTTTCTATTATTCTTTTTCTGTCTCTTACCATATGTTGAGATCATGTAATTATCTGATAAGAGATAAGCTAATCACATTTTGGAAAAATAATGTAACATCCTCTCTGATCACTTGATTGTGTTATCGTATACACAGATGCTATGACATCATCCCAACAGAGTTCTGGTGATTATTGGGATGATGATTGGGATGATGATTCTGAGGTTGGCCAAACTCAGGCATACGTGCCGCCTACGCAGCAACAGCATGTTGCACAGACGCCACAGCAGAACAATGCCGACCACTTGTGTAATTTTGGGTCCATGCCTACTATACATTCTGTGATACCTGAGAGACCTATACCCAATGTACCAAAGAAAAACAATAAGTTTTCTACACTCATCAAATCGGGAGAGGATAGCTTCCTGATGAGCGTCAGAACAGTAAATGTGCCTGAGAGCGAGAGGGTCTATATAGAGGAGGCCGATAACGGCCGATGCACGTGGGTGCCGACCGGGGAGTCATACAGCTGCGTTGTCACGTCACCTAAGAAAGAGTCCAAGCTGAAGGGTCTTAAAAGCTTCATTGTCTATCAATTAACTCCTACGGTAAAAAAAATCGCTATCTCCTCTTTCAGCTTTCCCTTTTAGGATTATGATAACAATCATGATTCTAATCATAATTGTAGCATAAATTTCAAGATTATATAGATTGTTTAGATATTGTTTACGTGATGTATACATGATCTTTTTTCATATAGATCATGTGGAAAATTGTGAATTGTATCAAAATATGTGACAAGAGTGATCTAACTATGAGACTATGAAACTATGAGACAATTATTGTATCTGTTTCGAGTATTAATTATAAATGTAATGTTTAAAAAACGTGAATTGCGTGAAATTTTCATTTCATTTAATTCTGAAAGCAAAAATGTAACCAGAGAATTCTGTGGACTCTTGTTTAAGAAACAACGTTTACAAATTTACATAAGAATTCTGAAAAGGTTAGATGAAATATTAGCTTTTCTTAATTAATTTTTTTAGCAGGCTATACATTATATGTAAATGTAGATTACAGTATGTCCTATTAAACCATTATTATATTAGATTGCAGTAAACATAGACTATAGCCGGTATTCTTAGTCAAATCTTATATTTAAAAGTCTTAAGTTTATTTCAAATGCTGAGTAGTCAATGAAACGATTTGTATATCATCTGAAAATAAATTCGAGACGATTTTAAATATAGGATCCGACTATGAATACTGGCCTTTTATCCATTTTTCCCATTTACGATTAAGAATAACGATAAGAATGAAACAAGTGTAAGGCGAATATTTTTATATTACAGTTTAATAATATACAAGTCTCAAGGAGGTACAAACATTTTGATTGGCTTCACGAGCGTTTAGAAGAGAAGTATTGCTTTATCCCGATTCCGCCTCTGCCAGACAAGCAGATATCAGGTCGCTATGAGGAACAGTTCATCGAGCACCGGCGTACGCAACTGCAGGAGTTTGTCGACTACGTGTGTCGGCATCCAGTATTGTCGCGTAGTCGTGTGTGGGAGCATTTCATGACCTGCACGGACGAGAAGCGATGGAAGGCAGGAAAACGGCAAGCAGAGAAGGACGAGCTGCTGGGCGTAAATTACTTCAACGCCATTCAGTGCCCGGACACATCGTTGGACGCCATAAAGATGGAGATTCAGACAGATACATTTGGCAGATTCATTAGTGGCTTGGACCCCGCGGTGAAGAACTTTATGGCCATGGCGGTAGACCAGGCGAAGAAGCATCAAGTGTTATACAGAAGAGAATTCCAAAAAATCAGCCAGTCGTTCACGTCGCTCGGCCACGCGTTGGAGGCGGATGACAACAGTCGTGGCAGGCTGACGCGAGCATTGAAGGCCACCGGGGATGCTTACAACGACATCGGAAAGCTTTACGAGGATCAACCGAAGTTCGATTGGGAGCCGTTGGCCGATAAGTTCCATATTTATCGCGGTATTATTAGCAATTTCCCTGACGTCATTAGCATCCATAAGGTATGTCGCGCGTCTCGGCCGCTCATTAATTAGCGCCTTATCTGGTTGGATTAATTATTCAATGTGCTGTTTCTCATTCTTTGCAGAGCGCTGTGCAAAAGCGAAAAGACTGCGAGCGTCTGGTCAGTGAGCACAAGATGGAGCCGCAGCAATTACGCGAACTCTCTCATCGGACTGACGTGATAGCACGCGCGTTGGTTGCTGAGGAAACGCACTTTCAGACAGAGCGCGAAGTGCACATCAACAAAGCCATAAAGACGCACCTCACGGAACAGATCGCTTTCTACCAGAAGATAGTCGACAAATTGCAAGAGGCATTGAGTGTGTTCGATGAATGAGACTCGTATTATTGCAATTCCGCTTGAGCAATATCCGATCGGGAAGATCAACCAACGCTAACGAGAAACTATAACTAGTGCATACAATTATGAACGACAGATGTACCAAATGCGCATATTTTCCGTGAAATTTGTACATATATATAGATATCCTTTATACATACACTCATGTATGTATCAGAGAACAGTTGAAGCTGAAGCAATTGAGCAAAATCGACGCTATGTAAATAACATGCTTAATCATTAATCTTGTCAAATAATATCTACACAACGTAAGGCAGTCACACGTATTGCGTTTTTGTCGTTACATCACACACCGTCGAGTTTTGCGAAACGATGAAGTGTTCATGTGCGCAAAGATCGACATATATAGTTGGAATTGATATATAATTATACAATGATCATTGAAGTGTTTTTAAGGAATTGTAATATATTTTGCCTTGATGTTATTGTTAATCTATCTTGAAATTTTTTCGACCACTTATGTAATTTGTTTAGTGTAAAGATCTTTTTCCTCGTAACTTCGGTCCGATGTTCTTCCGACGAATCGTAGTAAATGAGCATTATATCGCATCGTGATATCATGTATATATGAACTTGTATTTTCCACACGAACGGTATACTCAAATTCATTATGAATATTGCAAGAGATATTTTTAATCACAGAATTATTTGTACCTCTGTTTGACGTTAAAAATTGATAATCATGTGTTCTCTTTATCATTTCTACATCACTTTATACAAGAGAGAAATAATTGATTATGGCATGTGTCGAGATTTCTTTAGAAACATTTGTATCGGTGACGCATTTTTGTGAAATTGTTACATTCGAAATTCGGAATGTCTAATAACTTTTGGGTAAGAAAATATAGCTCATATTTCTAGACAATGTAATCAAAATTTATAATGCGAATGTAATCGCATGAGCTTGTGCTATAGTTAGAAGCTTCGAAATGTGAGACGGAAAAATCAGAACTGTTTGTTGACGAGCAGCAAATGTAGAGTATTATGAGTGTATTATCTGCTTTGTAAGATTTTCATTTTATCCGTCAAGCTTAATGTCGATTATTTTTCTTCGCGGAACGAACGTACATTAGTCATTCAACGACCAAGTGAGAGAACAAAGTTGTTTAACGTGTGAACAAAGAGGAAAAAAATAAACTATACGCGCGTAATATGTTCTTGCGAGGTATTCTAAAGGCAGCCAGTAATACGCATGCATCTCGTAAAATGTATTATTGTAATCGTGATACGAGTCTACTATACATTTTTATATGTAAGATGATAGAACGCGTAACGATGAACAATAACAAAATGTAAGACACGCTACATTCTTGTTATCGCATTTAAATAAATTGTACAAATAACAGAGCTTATATACATTAAGAGGAACATAGACACATACCAGTTTTTATAAACCGTATTAGCGAGAGAACACGATCTTCTTTTCTTCTAGAAAGGAGTTCCAATAAACGGCTACTGAGTCAAGAATTAAATATTTATTTTATTTTCATTTTATATATATATATATATATATATATATATATATATATATATTCTCAACTATTATATATAAACAATGTTCATACCGTTCCCCCCGTATCATTGCCAGATCTTTTTAAATTGAGAATTCAATGTTATTTACAAAATATCCCTTCGTGTATTACGAACTTATCACACTTCTAACAAAATTATACAACGCACATTTCGCGCTACTACTGTATAAATACAGGTCCAAAGAAATATGACAATCTCCATTACTGCCAAAGAATAGTCATTATACCATTGCCTCTAGCAGGTCAGATCAAAGATTAATATCGTACGAAGAAGAAGTAATAAACCCGTGTCTGCGACCGACGGGCTCGAATATGACCCAATAAGCCGCACGCCTACGCCATCCAAGAGAGAGAATTGGTCGATTACGACCGATGGTATCGGGAATAGCGGAATAGTTCTTCTCTAAGGTCACCTCTTATGCGTATATTGCGTGCGACGATACTTCTTTTGTTCCAATTACATAAGTAACTTGTATAAAAATAGCGCTTTGTGCGCAACCGCATGTAACATCACGCATCCGATAAAAAAATTAATTATGTCAAGTGAAATAAACGGTACACTTGATGCTTTGTTCGCTGTTAACACACCTACGTCTACCTGCCAGGATGTTATCGTCTCCCACGGGGCCGTCGTATTGCCGTATCTCGCTAATTTACATGTAAAATGTAAACGATTGCATATAACAAATTAAATATATAGCCAATAGGAAGCAGACAAAAAAACGAGCTAAATTAACAAATTGAGGATCACATTGATTTACCGTGTCTTTAATAATTCAAATTTTAGTTGAGCGTTGAAATGATCAACGGAAATCACCGTGGCAGTCGACGTGTTGAAGCAGGATTTTCTCTCCGCGATACAAAACAACGTGTATGTCGCACAATGATGTTTTAGAGACTTTATGTGAATAGAAAAATAAGCAGCGTATCGTGTTAGGAGACGGGGGACGCATATCGTCGAATCGGGCAACGTAACAGAGAGCCAAGGAGCTGCGTTTAGCGTCACCGAAGAGGACATGATAAACATTGGCACATCAAACTCTGTCACTTTATTTTGCATTTTATTCTCTGATCATTCCTTTCTTGGCCGATACGCGAGAGCAGCGCGGCGGATCGTTTTCGATTATTATATATGTTCATTATTACGGTATAGAGTTTCTGTACTTTGTAACTTCTCTGCGGTAAGACGGCAAAATAGTATCCGGCGGGAGGTGATCATTGAACTCCGCGTTCGTTTCTTCCTTCTTTCTTTTTACATTTTCTAGCATAAGAAGCCTTGTACAATGAGAAAAATTACAGATAGGAAGATACAGCGCGCACGCGCTCGTTGTGCGCGCGCACCGTGTATTATTATTAACGTTTACAAGAACGATACGGTGTTCTCCACTCTCTAGATAATAATCGAAATGTCCTGGCGATTAATAATAATAATATACACAGATGTCAAAGGATCTCTGGCGGCTGAGGAGAACCACGAGACATCCCACATAGCACCAACGTCAATTTTAATTATTATTATTAAATGTTGGTACAATATCTCAGTGAATTAAACTTTTTTTTTTACATAGAAATACAATGTTGTAATAATTTTCTCTATCGCGCGCGCACTACTAAAACGTTAGCTTAAGATGGTAAAGTACTTATATTTCGATAGATATTAAAATGATATTAATTTAGTCACAAGGCAACTTTGAATTAACCAAGAGAACCTTGTATTAATGTTCGAGTTTAAAATTTATTAAAAGTTTCTGAAAGAGAGAGAGAGCAACATTTTAAAATTACGATAACATCGCTATCGTATCTTCAGCAACGTAATTGAAAGGTTCTTAAGTTTAATGTTGGTGTAATATTTTTGTGCTATGTGGGACACCTTTGACACACCAGTCTGTACATCACGCAATCATCCGTTTTCTCTCTCGCTCTGCACACGCAAACAGTCAGACTGGCTTTTACATTTCTCGTTCTCCCTCCGTTTTTCTACCTTCTTTTTTCTTTTTATAAATGAGATTGCACTACAACAATATTCGTCCTCGTCGCTACTTAAGATCATCTTATCTTTACATCACATTTACAGTGTTCCTGCCGATATGTTTGTTCGTACGTGGCACGGTACTTTGAATACAAGCTAAGCTCCGTCTTTTAGATCTCGTTTTAGAATTTTCATCGCAGAGCCATCACAATGCGCGTTTTATCGTATATAGCGTAAAACGAATGTTCTTCTAACAAATCTTTCTTATTAGATGACATGATGTTGGTTACACTAAAGAAAGAACTTGATTCAGGACTGATGTCGAAAGAATGAAGACGTATTTGTTCGATTCTCATTTGAAATTATACGAGATTTCGTTCACTTATAATTCGCTGTAATACTCTCTAGTCTTATACTTAAATTATCCGTGAACATAGAGATCAAGGTGAGGTTTTCTCTCTCGCACAAAGAAACTGGTTTCATCACATTATGCATAATGAGCACTCGTTAAAATTCTCACTAATATCGCGTACGATGATGCACCATCATCATGTCATCCAAGGCACTTCAGAGAATTACGGTTTACACAATGAAAGACACCAATAGTTAGATAAGCTAGCGCACCGTGAGATACTCAGACATGCGTATAATTAACGATAATCACAATTCATAGTATATTTGTTATTCATTTATGCGTGTTATCGCACCAAGTTGTTCTCTACCGCCGTAAGAGAAATAGCGTAGAAACTATCGTCATCGGATTCAGAGGTGCAATCGAGAACACGAACGAACTCAACACAGTCGAGAAAAGAAATATGATATTTAAATTGAAACAAATTTTCTTCCGAAAATGACATTGATATGAATTTCCTGACTTTCTTCTTTGTACAAAGCAAACTTAGAGTGTCAAATTGAACGCTTAGATTTCCCGAGAATGGCTCATTCGACAAGATTCACTACAGACTGATGTTCTTCAACGCATCCCCAAAAGTAAACGCATCGGTTCAACATTCTTTTCTACAATATCACCTTACGATCGAAAAAGAATGCCCGCTGTACGGACGGATGCCTAATACGGTAATGCCAAGAGACTATTATTATATATGTAGGTATGTGTATAGTTTAAAATTTCGAGAGGAAGAGATAATAATAAATATATTGTAACAATAGGGTCGCTTACTCGACAAAGCGCAAATAGTGTTCATTTTTCGAGTTTGATCTTTCGCGGGAGCTAACGCACGAGTTCCTTGGAATTTATTCGCGAATACGCGCGCTTTTTACGAGGAGCTGCTTACAGCCTCGCGGCGCAGAATTGTTTCTTACGTGTGCTCTAGCACACCTGTCGATTATACTCGATTGATTTACCGAACTTTTCTCTACAGAATAAACAGCGTTAGTAGTGGCCACCGACAGAGCTGATTTTCTGAGTGATAATAAATTTAATTGTGCTCTCGATGGGCCCCTCCGAAACAGATCAATCCGTACTCGTTCCGACGATCAGTCGCGCATTTATATGAACAGAACACGCATTAAAATATATTTTGATTGAGGCGTAATTCACAAGCTTCATGCGTTTGCTTCAGTAAAGATTTAACGATAGTAGGAAACTCGGCCCAAATTACAGTTGTACACATTTTTTAGATTTCATACGGAAAGTTTCGATTCTGTACCGATTTTCATGACGAATACTGTGAAATAATTATAACAAGATTGTATTGCGCTTCCGCTCAAAAATATAATGACATCATAAACGAATAAAAAGAATCACTAACATTTTCTTTCATCTCTCGTTGACTTGTTTGTCAAAATTTAAATATGTCTGCACTACGTATTTGATATAGGTCTGTTCTTTTGCTCTGTACTGCTGCACTGGTGCAATAAGTTAGAGTGAGACAAATATATATTTGTCTCATTCTAACTTATTGTATCAATGCAGCAGTGCAGAGCGAAAGAACACATCAATAGTGCTATGTATAAACACTTGCACATTATCGGATATATATTCGTATCGTTTATTATGTCTTGAAATTATTTATTATGACCTAAAACATTTTGCATTGATAGCTTATCACACTCGAATCTCCCTATTTTTTTCACAAAAAGAACTGACCAAAAAAGATTCGAGTACAAAATAAGCTCATACAAAACGAATTCTCGAAACAAATATTACAAACTGTAACAAATAATTTTAAGACATAGTAAAAGAGAACATGATACAACATAAATATATCTTTACATGTGAAAATAATTACAATAGTAAAATAGCTACAATAGTAACTTTTACAGAACTTCTACAGAATTCTTTACGTCTGTATTTTAAAATCAGGCACGCAAGATAGCTTATGTGTTTTAGGTGTGTATTTGTGCATTATGTACACCTTACATCTTGTAGAAATAGAAGTAATAGTGCAGTATATATATGTATACACATATGTTTTTTTTAATATAAATATTAGCAGAGTAATGTACATACACATATGTAAGTGTCAAGCTAGCTCAGCGAAATCTGTTCGGAATTTAACGTTAATATAATATCACGGTATAATTTTAATTATATATAGAGTAGAAGGAGTATACAACGCGTGTATGACACGTAAAACAGCGCATTATACAAGTGTTCGCTACCTAAGCATTTACATTCTAGAGGCATATCTCCATTATAAAAAAAAGTATAGAAACATGTATTAATAAAAAAAAAAAAGAAAATAAAGAGAAGAAAAAACAGATCTTTCTCACAGGCTATGTCTCTGTGCACTAAAGTGACCTTTCGATATCGTCTGCGTTTCTTGGTGACAGGTTTTTGCGATTCGATTAAAAAATAAACTTGATTCCTATATAGATAGACACAGGATACTCTTTCTCTCTCTCTATCTTTGAGGTGTATAATTACAGCAAGCGAGGATCGGATTACATAGGTACCTGAACTCGTAATTATCTTGTGTATGGTATACAGGTCTCTATGCTGCACAGAATTGTATCAAATAGCCACGCGCTACTTATCACACCAAATTTTACAAAATATAAAAACTTGTCGTTGTACTGTATTCGCATAATATATGTACTTCATTATAATAGCAGACTCGATCTAACAAAGTGCGCAAACATCGGCGACACGCAATCTTCATCACAAGTCTTATCTAGAAACGCATCCGTCTCTTGTACCGTCATCAGATCAACATTGAACGTATCCGCAAACGTCAACTACGAGCTTGGACCTAGCTTTACTTATGCGCGTGTAACACAGGTAACGTTGTACAATCATAAGAACAAAGCCTGCGAACGTAACTGTCGTACGTTAGAAGAAGGTACGAGAGTCGTGTTATACCACCCGGGCCCGTAGAAGCGAATTTTACGTAGTGTACGCGCTGGATGATGATCACGTGCTTGTATATGCGCGTACGTGTGGTATGTGTGTGTCGTGTTTCGTTCTGTGTATGTTGTGTTTGCGGGTGCACCAATGCGAAGCAAATTGACTCTAAAATCTATGTGTAACTCTGATTGTTCCGATTGAAAGCTACAGTTAAATCCGGAGTACAATCCGCAAAACGGGCGTGCCTTCGCCTTTTGCGCGAATGCGAGAATTTAGCGGAGCGACTCAGCTGTTTTTATGTGGCCTTCTAAGTTGCGGCACGTCGTCCTGAAAGAGCCTGGATAGAGCGGTGCGTGTGCAGCCCCACAGCTTGAAGTCTTGTTCGCACATGTATGGTGAGCGTTGTGAGGAGTTGTTGTTGTTGTTGTTGTTGTTGTTTTTGGTGAGAGCGACTGGAATGCGAGTGAGATTCGAGAACATCACGCTTGTTGACATGAGCAACGGTTCGCGCGGTGGTTTCAGTTGAGATTGCCCGACGGCCCCAGCGGCGTGTGCTGATAATTGGTGTTGATCTGCGACTGCTCTCGATATTGCATGGAATTGCCGCTGGAAAGCCCGGTCGAGCCTGTGCCCTGCTGCTGTTGCAATTGCTGCTGCTGCTGCTGCTGCTGTTGTTGCTGCTGCTGCTGGCCGCTGTTGAGCGCCAGCCGTTGCATTTGACGTATAACCGTTGCCGCATGATACGCTTGCTGCAACCATGAGAGAAGGGGAAGACTTTCCTAGAGATCCTGCTGAGGAAACAGACGATTAACGATATGCTAATTAGCCGGTGATACTAACCTTCCATCTTGACTTGGCAAAATTCTTTTTAAGTTGTTCCGATACTGTACCATGAATGTTCTTATTGCTAGCTGCGTTGCCGGATATCCTGTAAGTATCAATGCGACGGCATTAAGTTACACTCGTGCTTGTGTATGTACAACGAGAAGTTATGTGAATAATCGCATGAGTATAATTAGTAAAGAGTGGAGGTAAGAGTGGAAGTACTTAGAAAGAAGAGTCGACTCGAATGTTGTGTGACAACGAACAAACGTGATACACAATGAGACCATAAACGTGTAATTTGTGGCAGTCAACAACCGCCTTATTATCTCAATCGCATTAAGTTGCTTTTAACCCCTTGAATATGCAGACACACATACACACAGACAGATGACAAAAGCTTTCCAAGAGTACAACATGTAATTTACTTACTTAGTCCATACAAATTTTATTTTACGGACAAATCAGTTCCTGTAATATTCGTGACTTCGAGCTATAGGGATACATTAAAGTTTACGTTTAAAGCTCTCGTTGCAAATACCCGACATTGTACATGTTTATAGAATAACTTCGCTATCACATATATAAATATTACGAACGTTATTATGTGCGTACGTAAAAAGTGTATTCTCTCGATATTTTTTTTTTTCATTCTAGGACTTTGAAGATCCTTACCAGGGATGTGCAAGGGCTTGCTTGCAGGTGTAACGCTCATCAACGTTGACGCACATCAGCTTGTGAATGAAATCCTTCGCCGAATCACTGATATCGTCCCAGTATGGTGAGTCAAATTCAAATTCACCTACAACAGTTTGGTTAGCTATTTCCTATGGAGTGCATAATTTTGATATAAAGTGATTATTTCAATTAAAACATACTCGCACTCCATGCGCGTGTAATATTTGTAGCAATATCTGTGAAACTGAACTAAGCGAGTGTAGCTCTGAGATTAAAAATAGAAGATACTATTACATAGATGCATATTTTCTATCCCTGCTCGATACTTGACAATATTGCCTTTATATTATTACACTATAATCCTGTATGACGTCTAATATTTAAAAAGTAAAATTTCAAGTTGCTTGTATTATTTTTGCGCTTTTTTCTACACTGAAAGTAGTAACTTGAATCGGAGCAACGGGATTTATAGCGCGCCTAGAAGTTATTTTATTACCTTTCAGAATTTGTGCGAACAAATTGGCGTCATTCTCGTCATAAAACGGAGGATATCCGCACAAGAGGATGTACGAAATAACCCCTATGCTCCAGACATCCACTGCTTTGCCGTACGGTTTCTGTGCCAAAACTTCGGGTGCTGCAGATCATCAAAATATCAGTTTCACTATCGGTATTTAAAATGCGCTTCTTTTTCTTCTCTCTCTTTCTCTTTTTAATATTTTTTTAAACTTACCGACATATCCCGGCGTACCGCAAGCGGTCGCCATAATCCCAGAATCTTCCATCTTCGATAGGCCAAAATCGCTGATCATAATTTTACTATCCTCATCTGGACTATAGTATAGGAGATTCTCTGGCTTCAGATCTCTGTGAACGACACCTTGATCGTGCATATAGTCGACGGCCTCGAGTACCTGTCTTATTAAGCCAGATGCGTCTTTCTCTGTATAGGAACCCTTCTCAACGATTCTGTCGAATAGTTCTCCACCAGTGACCCTGAAATATAATGTGCGTTACAATGATTTTCTCCACTTTCAATGCTGTAATATCAAAGAGAATCGTACAAAAATACTCACAGTTCCATAACTAAGTAGACTTTATGTTTATCCTCAAACGTTTCCAGTAATTGAACAATATTTGGGTGTGTTAACCTGCAACAGTGCCACGTTTCTCTAATTTAAAGCTATCACACACAAGACAATCGTAAGAATTAATTCGATAAATTGTAAAATAAAAAATCGAAAAAAGAAGATATGTATATCTTACATAAAAATATATACAGTATTATATGAAATAAATATATCATATAAAAATGTTCTTTTCTTTTGCAAATATATTCTTTATATTCTGTTGCAGCTAGTCATAATTACAAGCTATGCATGAGTCTTATTAATTAATGCATATATTAATTAACAATCTTGAACTGGTAAAATAATAAAGTTACAGTAGTTAACTAGTACATAGAATAAACAACGTTAAACAGCAATGCAGAATTAGCTCACAATTAGCTATGCAATTGCATACTATATCAAAAAAACATGCTGCAATAATTACTAATGTATTCCCAATTATATTTTATATATAATTGACATACAGATTATTAAATATATACAAACAATCACATTCACGTAGAAAACAGATAATTATTTACAAGATATTATACAGCGCCAAAAAGCAATTTTTCTACCAAATATGTACAAGGATCTGAAACATGTGTATAATAAATTTCTTATTAGATATAGAGAAAAAGAGTTATGGTATAGATTATTGTTTTTTTATAGATTATGTTAAAAAGAAAAAATAAAAACATCAACAATATCATTAAAATCTGTCATAAAAATATATATGAGATAAAAAGAAAATATTATTCTATCACATTACAATTGTCTCTCATGTAACTAAACAGAGCAGCAACCTTCTTAATTTATGTGTCCTGAATTGTTTCCTTATAAAGTACTCTAAAATATTTACTTCATTATCTCTTGTACATATTTAAAATCATATACTATCTTAAGAAAATCCATTTATCAAACAGCTATTAGCTCGTTGAAACACAAACAACTACTAGCTCGTTGAAACGTAAATTTTTTCGCAACATAATTAATCTAACTAATATCTTCGATAAATTTAATAAAAATATTAGAAAACGGCGTGCCGCATGAATATGCTAGCTTCTTCATAAGTGAAATAATAGAGTACGCGTAGAAAGTATTTACGTTATTATATCTAAAACTGTTTTTCTCCCTTATAAAAAGCAGCGAATTCGTAGTTTATAGTGACTCACTCATGATTATTTTGTTTTTATATTATCACTGTTAGACATATAGATTAAATGTTTATGACGGCAAAACGCGATAGCATAGTTCATAATAGAAATTATACGATAATAAATAATCATAGAAAAACTGTTCTAAAAGATTTAGACTGATGATGCGTTTGTCTCGAGATCTACGAAATGTGAATTTAGCAAGTGTTCAGACGTATATGACACCCGACGTAAAACAAAATTCAACATACTAAACATGAGAAAATAATGAAATAGTTTAAGAGCAAACACAAAGTAACACGTTGCTATCACTATGCTCATTTTATTTCGTACGCTGTCGGTTGCGTCGAATAATTTTATGTACATTATTTCTTTCTAATAGCAGAACGTACGTGCCAATCGATATTTACAGAAGGGAACATAATATAATTATTGTAATCAGAATCCACATTTTCGACGTGTATCGATTTCCGACATACAATACTTCTTTTTTGTTTGAAGAGAAAGCGCATTTTTAATCATACATAAAATAACACAGTTTTGGATTCAAATTTAGAAAAAAACAGCAGTAAAATATATTACTCACGTATTGATATATTGAATATATTTGTTTTTAAATATGTATGTCAATTAAATATGTATGTCATTTAAATATGTTTTTAAATGTATGTCAACAAAATGTCTGTTTGAATCGTAATAAAAATATATTTCATATACAGGGTGTCTCACACTCTCCTCCGGGCATTTTGTGGGGACGTAGAACAGATTGAGGTGAACATAAAAGTCCTATACCGTTTTGCGATATTCGCAATAATTATCGAGATATTAATTGTAGAAAATTTGTGAATAATCATGCAGGATATGGTAAATGAGTTATAATAGCGACGACTGCCGTCGTGTACTTATATTTTAGGTCAAATTGAACAAAAAAGTCCTCTACCATTTTTCAAATAATCACATAGATTTTTAATTATTAATTAAAGAAGATTATTGTACAATTTTGCGTGATAATGCACTCATCTTCTTTAATTAGTAATTAAAAATCTATGTGATTATTTGCAAAATGGTAGAGGACTTTTTTGTTCAATTTGACCTAAAGTATAAATACATGACGGCAGTCGTTGCTATTATAACTCATTTACCATATCCTGCATGATCATTCACAAATTTTTTACAATTAATAACTCGATAATTATTGCAAATATCGCAAAAGGACTTTTATGTTCACATCAACCCATTCTACGTCCCCACTAAATGCCCGGAGGAGAGTGTGAGACACCCTGTATAAATGCGTGTATCGCAAGTATACAAACGTAGCAGATATTCCCCACGAATTATTTTCTCATATTGATAACACTGATAATATCTTATCGTCTACATCGTCGTTTTATCCAGAGTGGTTCCATTCAAATTCGATAGAACAGGATGATTACATCTCGATTCGTATCGCACAAATCGGACTCCACTTCATAATTAGAGCAGTATTATCTAACGGCTGTCGTTGAATTCGTGATGTCTTGTCTCGTTTAAAAATATCAATTAAAGAGGTCGTCTTGATTAATTATAAGCTCGTATTAATATTGTATTCGTATAATCTCATTTAACGAGAAAGGTGGTAAGTACAAGGATACCAAAACTGTGTTCAACGCTACGTGATGTGAACGTGCATAGAGATTATTGTGTATTTATAATATAAACAATATATGTATGTATATATATATATATATATATATATATGATCTGAATCTGTAACAATGTATGGCATCGTCGAGTGATACAGAATACTGAGCGATACAGGTAGTTGGTGCCCGTGCTTAGGCCCACACTTACCATTTTCTTTCGCCACTACTATCCGACTTGAGCGATCCATCACCACTCTGTGGTGTCACACTTTCACTGAACCTACGAAGTATAATAATACCATACACAATTACGTAATATATATATATGTATCGAGAGCAGAGCTGTTTGCTTACTCGTACGAAGTCTGAATTTTCTTATCTTTTTTTATTCTCCCTCTTAATTTTTTTTCCTCTTTCTTGTTTTTCTTTTGTTAATGATAATTCTGTTTGCCCAGTATGATGGTGTAGAAAATTAATTTGTATGACATCGATTTGTATAGATGAGAAAAGATTATTACAAGATGAAACATACAAACGATAAATTGATACAAAACAAAACCCTGATCTTTCTATTGATAAATTAATAATTAGAAACGTGGTGCAAAAGTTAGTATTATGTTGCAGTAAATAGGTAATACACATGGATAAAAAAAAGTATGATGTTCCTTTCCACTCTCTTTTTCTCTCGAGATATATATTAATTAATGTATTAAAATGCCATATATGCATGCAACGTTTTTGTGAAAAAAGATAAGGACCAATGATGTGTCTTGTGGTGTCCTTGTGCAGTGTTAAATAAGTGTCGCGTCGTCGATGCGATTAACATAGTGTATAGAAGAAGTTTTCAATTGTGAAACAGTAAACAACATGTACGTATATGTACGAACGTGTGTACATGTGATGTAGCACCTTGTACATTCGCGGTATAATGATCATTTGCAATGATAATTTAATAACACGATAGAACTCTTGAACATCAAAATAATTTTTTTTTTCGAACCATTCCCGACTCTTTCTCAACACGCGTGTTCCGATCAAGTTGATACGTGAGTCACAGAGGAGTACAGAATAGAATCAATAGAAGGAATTCAATACTAACAAACATTGGAAAATACCACTTGAACACATATCCAACCACTGTTAAAAGAGAGAAAACATTGTAGATAACATATATTCAAGGTAAACATGTTAAAGGATCGCAACAGGAATTTTTGAGCATGTTTAGAGTATGTCCGATAGCATCGAGACAATGTTTAGCTTGTACGAGGCACATTATCTGCATACAACATTAAAGATAACAAGAGCACAGACGACAGCCATCAGAGCTCACTCCAAATGCCATATCAACGCTCCCGGACAAGAGAAGACTTTCGACAGTAAGTATATGTGGGACAAAACTAGCACACCATATAATCACATAATATTACTGTATAAATGAGAAAGCACAGTGAGATTGTAGATTAATGGCGGAACACTCTCCTCCCCAAAATGATCGATATGATTGAAAAAACAGATACCGAGCAACTTATGATACGTCGAAAAACGGCGCGATAGAGGAATTCTGAAAAGCAAAGAAACCAATAATCCATAATACCTTCTTCTCAGCCTTATGCTTGCGCGCGATGCTAAATGGTAAATGAATTTGTCTCATGTATAGGCAGAGCTATATAATAAGAGGAATACAAAGTACTCCCCAGGAGCGATATGATTCTTATACATGAAGCGTTTGTTAAAGAGAGGCATGCGTTCAACTATGTCAAAGTTGATCCCAGCGACAATAGAACTGGTATACTTAAATTTCAGCCAATATTATCAACTTTCTGAACGCCTAAAAATATTAAGGGGGCAACTATGAAACCAAGATTACAGTACTGGTAAGAGTTTGTCTACTGAAAAGATATCCAGCTCTCAGGATTTTCGCATCCTACCTTCGCAGAACTTTGATTTCGTTCTCTAACGAATCCTCCTTGCCCTTCAGCGCCTTCTTGTCGATGATCTTCACGGCAAACATTTGTCCGGGTTTTTCCTTACTTTCCGCTAGCCTCACCTCGGAGAATGCCCCCCTGGACAAAGAAAAGTGTGGTATTAGACACAGTCGGTTCGCCCGTGGCAATCAATTTGCGCGGGTAAATTTACTTGTAATTAAAGACTGCTTCTGTTACTTCTTAATGAAGATAATCACCCGTGCAATTGCAAACTGATGTTCGTTTCTTATCAGCAGATCAACATTGCAAGCTGTTCATAAGCATAATGACACGTCGCAAGTAATTAACTCTGACACTATTGTCGCGTGGAACTATTGTCCCACGTTCGAACAGATGGATCTTGAAATACGCAGGACATGCCATAAGAGGCGTGTGTCATATGCGCAACGGAAAGTTCTACACGCGACTCTCGAGTTATATTTTCCGCTTTAACGAATGTTAAAACAATCAATAATCGCATTTGTAGTACATAATGTCAAAGAACAAATGCTTTAATAAACAAAGAAATCCCGGAGAAGCGAGATGCAATTTACAATCCCAAATCATCGTTATGTAACGGAAGGATCCGGTATAAACGCCGAGAAGTGAGCAACCTATAATACACTCAATGCCCAACACGAGACTGAACTCTCCCTTGACGTTACTAAATCAACGAGGAGATACAATGAAACGGTAATAATCCGCGTATCGTAAGCGTCGGTTATACGACGGTCGTTTTCTCGCTATTATACCACTCTCTCAAGTACAATCAGTGTATTTTTCACTGAAATACTATATTTACAACTGGCAGTTCAGTTAGAAACATAACACTACAAAATTTCGCTGAAGGAATCAATTAATAACGGTTGTTCCTATCATCACTTGCGAATTGACAAGTCATAGAAGCTTTATTTCTTTATTATTTCTGTGAATTTTATTTTTATTCTGTGAATAAACTTTATATCTCACACATAAATTTTCTTTTTTCTTAGTGTAATATATTTTCCTGATGGTTTTAGAAGAATCCTCTTGTGACATACAAGAGGATTCCACTGAAGATAAGATTATACTTTTTGGATATATGTTACAGATTTGTGAAATCTTACTCTCCAGAGTCAATGAGAAATAAGACGGAAGAATAAGACACTGTGAAAAAAATATTTGAATATTTATTTACGAGATATAAAATTTATTCGCAGAATAAATAAACTTTATCCTTCATAAATAAAACTTAATAATAAACTTCATTATATCCTACAAATAAATTTTCTTAGTGTTTTTTTCAGTGCCGTGTTTTCGTTAAAAATCTGTGAATATTCATTGATCATCGGTAAAATAGTCGTTTTGCTGACTCGACACTTTTACTGATTTGCTTTGAGAAAGCACTGTACGTATAATCGCGAATAAACGAAATTAGGAAAAGATCGGCTGTTTCAGACGGTTAAGTAGGACTTTCTCTTTCGCAAGACGTTACAAAACATTATTATATAAGCCGACTTCGCAGGCCAATGATGCGTTCGACAATTCTGAATATTGCTCGTATCATTTAGTATATTATACTTCGTGTGATTTCCGACCGGACAGGAAATGTTTGGTTTCGCAGACAGATTAATTTGCCGTCTGCCAAGGAATGTTGTCCGAAATAAAATCGCACGCGCCAGCAATCCGAAACACTTTTTTTTTAAGAAAGTATACGCGAATAAAGTGTGCATTTTTATGCTAAAGCGGCGACGAGGAGCGATGTGCGCAGCAAATGTCGCACGAGCACGTTTTTCTAAATTAATTCTAATCTATACACGGTAAGTTTAGTTGAAAAATAACACACGACGGGATAAGATTGAACGCGCGTTATTATTTTCCAGCTTTAAACCGGGAGAAGGGAGAAATCGGATATCGATAAACTATGGGGCTTCAGAAATGTCCGATATATATGGACGAGAAAATACAAACGATGTTTCGCGACATCGTAATTTCAGTCTCATAAATCCTACGTCACTCGCGTCATAGCCCAACACAGGACGAGAATTTACGACTTAAGAAATGTTTAAAAAGTTATGTTTAGAAAGTATCGTTAGAACAGGCGTATATATACGTACATCTTAACGCGATTCAATGTATATCAAGTGACATACGAAAACGCGTCACGTGGAAGTTCAGCGCGAAAAGAGAGAAACACAGAGACGATAGTTCCGCGATAGTTTTGCGGGATATGTGTCTGAAGAGTGAGAATCCGCGACCGACTCTTAAAGAGAAATGTCTCGTGTTAGCGTACGCGAAAAAAATTAAATCGCGGACACTTCCATTTATGTAATCCATTTAGCACTCGGCGTCTCGTCATTTATACGTAAAAGAAAGAAACTGAGAGCCGAGCGCGTCGAAGGTCACGAGAGACGTATGTATGTACAGGGTGTTCGAAAGTCACCGAATGATCATTTCAATTGTAGACTATATGTAATCATCGTTCTCCGAGTTGGGGTGACTTTCGTCAAATCTGCGATTAATTTAATCGACGATTAAACTCAGTCAGCAGATTTACCGCCGTGAAAAATAAAGTAGTTCGTTGTTAAAACGAGAAACATTCTCTTGATCTTTCTTTGTAATTTTACTAACTTTATAATTGATGCATTTTAATACTTCACTCACACTCACAGTCAAGTATACACTTTTGCCCGCACAATTTCGCTAACATACACAGAATGCTTTTCTTTTGTTATTATTTCACAGCAAATTGCACAGTCAGAAATCGATGTTGGCAACTTTGCCCGTTAAATGTCGATTGATTTAGCTATCAGTTAATTTGGTCGGAATTTGCTGAAAGTCATCCTGAATTTCTGATTGAGATTAACTTAGTTTTATTGAATATCCCAAAAAAATCCCGGAGAGATCCTCTGCAGGAAAATGTTCAATATCATACACGTGTCCTAGTAAGTTTAAATGAAAATATCATAAAGGTGAATTTCATGCAAAAAATTATCTGCAAGAGATGTATGATTCTTTTTTGTTAACTGTTTGCGCTCGCTTCAAATTGAAATTCCCGAGTAGTGTCTTATTTCCAGTCGCTATTTTAAAACGAAACCGATTAATAGCTCGGGGTTTTCATTTCAGGAAAAGTCGATTCCGTATTGTCTCCAAAGAGCTTGTGGTTAAAAGGACATCCGGTGGTTTCTAACAACCTATGTCCATACACGTCATACGAGCTCGATGTAAAATTCGACAGATTTAGCGCGAATGGGAGATTATCCCGGGAGATTGCGCGAGATTCATGCTACACACACACATACGTACATATATGCATATGCATATGTATATTGCAGCGTTCGTGCAGCTGAAAGGAATAACCGATATAGGCAGAGAAATACATATATGCGCGAAAGAAGGAGCCGGAGAATAATATCGCATCGTTTCGCGTGTATCTTAAGTGATACTAATTTGCTGAACACGCTCGCAGTCACATCTCAAAAAGAGACAGCAACCGTAAACAGGAAATTATCTCCTCTCGCGAGATCAGCATTTCTACATCGATACATTATTCGTTGATTAAGTCATCGGTCTTTAAGAGATGCGGCATTACACACAGATTTTAACGTTAACGTTCTATCATATCCCCGCGACCAATGTTACATAACTTTATCATAAATTTTCTGTTACGGATCAACGGAACGCACGCATGTATTACGCGTGGCAGTGAAAGTTTTCCAGATTAATATTGCAATTATGACGAGAAAAAAACATATATATCTTCATTTTTTGAAGACCATAGACTAGAAGAAGAATGACATAATAGCGAATTATTTGGTGAATCGATGCGGAGAAAGATATATATGTCTTTTTGATGTATCATCTCTCGCGTAATATGTTGTGTGAACACATACCATAAATATACTGAAAGTGAAAGTGTAGAATAATAATTATTCATATTATATAATCGAACGATTAGAGTGAGAGCTTATCGCACAAAGATACATACATGAGCGCATAAAATTGCCACTTATCTTTATCGGAAATGTGGCTGCATAAAAATTACTGCAAGTTTCCGCGTATCATTTGTTAGTCGTTTTACGAGAGCGCCTTAGACGTAAATAGGTCCGCAACGACATACATTTTTTTCTTTCTCTCCTTCTCTTTCTCTCTATTTTTGCGAAGCACCGAGAGCTTGGTCCGTCGTAACTTTTTCACGTTCGCCGACAAATACGAGCAACGATTAGGCCGGAAATTGTACTCCACGTTGGACCCACTCAGAATTAATCGGGGAAAGATAGTCGCATTATCTACTCACACCTCTCTCATGACGTTCAGCCCGTTAAATTCGTTGGATTATCGACAAACACTCAGACGGATAAATCACGAGTGGACGATGGGATTATTCCCGATATTTGTCTCACGAAGAAACAGAGAAGCACGCGAGATTGGATTTGAGTGGACGACAGAAGACGACAACAAGTGCACAGAGCACAACAAGTGTTCGTTGATTTCGCGGCCGTATGTCAGAGGGAAAACAAGGAAAACGTGATACTTACGTGCCCAGCAGGTCCTTCAGGACATACTTGTCTTCGACGGAGGGCGATCGGTCGTCTTTGCCGTCCTTCTTGATCTTCTTGTTAGAGTCCTTCTTCCCGAAGAGCGGCATCTTGTCCCGCGGAGTCTCTCGCTTCGGGGAGTTTGCTTTTCGCGTGCGTACGTGAATGCAACGTATACACGATATGTATGTATATATATATGTATATACGTTATCAGATATCTGTCATACACGAAAGGTGTACCGACCACACGCACTACTGCTCTGCGTCTCCCGCGTTCCCACTCGCTGGCGAAGACGCCGCGAACAGATCAGCGGCACAGGATGATGGTCACGCGTGAATGCTCCAAGGAAGAGAGAGAGAGCTCCTCTCTCCGCTTCCGCGTCTCCTCCGATGACTGCGTGCGCGTGTTGTTTGCGAGCGACGAGCGACGGGCGATGATGACGACGACGGTGGTGAACGACAGACTACCACTCGCCGCTGTCGATGATTTTCGCGGCGCTCCGGGAAGATACCGCCGCGCGACGTACCAGACGCGCCGTCAGATCGTCATTCCGTAACGGGACGATCATGAACCCACGACCTTTCAGATCGTGATAGCCCGCTCTCTCCCTCTCTCTCACTCTTTCACAACCGCGCGCTCTTTCCGCCCGTCTGTCAGCCGGCCGTTGCTTTGCGGCCGTCCTCACCAGCTCGACGATGACACCACGGAGGAGACTACGACGCGTGTCTCCCGCTCACTCTCGTCGCTGCTGCTCCTTCTCTTCGCACCTCTCTGTTGTCGACCGTCCACTAGCTACGGAGACTTTGAGATTCTGTTGCAGTCTTCGCTACCGTTCACCACTACTACTCTCATATACGGAGCTCCTCCACGCGTCTCGTTACGCGTATCGAGCTCAGGGTCGTGGCCTCGCGCCCTCGCTGGCTCTCGCAGATAGCCAGCCAGCAGATAGCTTCCTCCGCGTCGTTCCTGCCCCCGCTTGTGCTCGTCCACGCCGAAGCACGGAGTGGCGTATATGTAATCGCGGCTATACTACTGCCTGTCGCGTTTATCGCGTTGCCGCCGCCGCCACCGCTGCCGCGTCGTCGATCTTCGTCGCTGGCGATAAACGTTCGCGCCCGGGCCTGCCGCGGGTCATAATGTCAGCGTACCGACTGCCGCTCTTTCGCGCGAGACGCTGCCTCTGTAGTGCTCTGCCCCGTCGCAATGCACTCGCAGCACTGCGGCGGTGATGTATACACGTGTATATATGTGCGTGTGTATGTGTGTCAACCGATTCGAGAACTGGAGAACAACCACCGTGTTATTAGAATGAACGCTGAGACGTTGTTGAGTCGAGGTATTCACTGATGTCGAATCGACATACTCATCGTTGCAGAGACGAATCGTCTGATGACGACAATGTGCAGTAACATTGCGATATTGTGTTCAGCCTTCCTTCTTTCCTTCCTTCCGAATTGGTATAGTCCTTATTCTTTAGGATCTTTCACCATTTACAATGTTAGGTATGAATGAATAAGGCCTTGGCAGGTTCCAAGACAACTTCCAAAAATCACCGGTCTGAACTTGTTCAGACACGTTTCATCGTGCCGGCGGTTAAACCGGAACTCTTGTGTTCAGCTTTGTAGCACGCGATCTGATGCCTGCAGCAACTCGAACAAATCTGCGGCACTGCTTGACTCGATGTCGCTCAATGCTTTCGGTTTCTCACGCATGTTCGAACAAAGCCTCATACGGAGTGAGAGGGGAAAACTTGATCATGTGACCAATTTCGATTGGTCTCGAGTACCAGAGTCCCTAAAGGCCAAATCACACTAATGGCTCCTGCACACAGGACGCGGTAATGCTTGCCGCGCGGCGGAAGTTCGCGCGACAGCCAATCAATATGCTGCTTTCCGTAATAACCTTCTAGCCTTACGGAAAAACAACATATTGATTGGCTGTCGCGCGGACTTCCGCCGCACGGCAAGCATTACTGCGTTCTGTGTGCAGGAGCCATAACGATTGGCGATAGATGATTAACGATTGAAGATTAGATTTTGACGAATCAACGAGCTTCAACCTTGGCTTGCTTTGTTCCAATTGGTCAAGTTCCAATCTTCAATTGATAGGACTTTCATGATTGACGATTGAAGATTGGAACTTGACCAATTGGAACAAAACAAGCCAAGGTTGATTCATCAAAATCTAATCTTCAATCGTCAATCATCAATCGCCAATCACTAGTGTGATACGGGCTCAAGGCCGGTTCCCATTAGTCCCGATCTACAATAGATGTAGTAAGCTTTAAGCCTTAAGAAATTGATTAATCATAGTGAAATTATAGAGAAATAATCAATTGTGATTGGTTAATTTTTTACGGCTTAAAGCTTACTACACCTATTGTAGATCGGGACTAAAGCATGTACTAGTAAAATTCATGAATCGTGATGTGTGAAATAATTTTCTTTGCTGAATGCAGTGACTGGGCGCGTTCAGCTGAAAAAACGCTCAGCGAGCAATCAGCGATTATTGGTTTTTACTGTTAAATCCCTAAATTTAGACCAATTACATTGACGAATTGCTCAATTGTTGTGCAACTGTTGAGTTCGCTGAACGCACCCATTGATTCTTACTGTTAGATCCCTCTCTAAATCTAGACCAATTATATTAACAAATTGCTCAACTGTTGAATCTCTTGGGCTGCGTTCTAAAACTCTACTCGACTGGTAGAGTAGTATTTAATTGATCAATAAGAACAAAGATAACTAGGATTTCTTTATCATAATTGGTCAATTAAATGTACTCTCTATCTATCGAGTAGAATTTTAGAACGCAGTCCTGAATGCAGCCAATATTTGCCGCCTTGTCTAGTTATTTAAATGAGGTTAAAAAGTGATAGAATGAGAAATTATTTCTAAAAAAAATAAAGGATGTTTATTGTGGTTTCGTTTAGTTTGTGAACAAATTTATGAGAAAATGGAATATAATAACAATCATAAAATAATATTGCAAACTGTTATTCATGAAGGTGCTTTGAAAGAAGATCGTGGAAAGGAATTAGTTAATACTTTATTTGGTATGTAAGTTTGATGCAATAAATAACAGGATATATGAAATTTACAGTATATATATATATATATATATATATATATATATATATATATATATATATATATATAAAATATGGAAATTTTAGGACACAACAACACAGCGCAAATATTAAGCAGAATAAATACAAAGTTACAATCTTTAAACATGATCATAAAATGTATAAACTGTGAAGTCACTGGTCAATTATATTGGGTTTTTGCAAGTATATCACAAGAAACTGTCAAGTAATTTATACATTATTAACTCTGAGATAGGTATATTTCATGAGTATTATATATCCTATGGTTATGTTAATGTTCCAGATTCCAACTAGAATATTCAGAGGCTGAATTAGCTCTTCTGAATAATATATATTCTGCAATTGTTACTTCAGATGATGGTCATGTGTCAAGTACATGGTGCCTCAATCTATGTTCATCGTTAAATGTGAAATTATCTAAAGATAAAGCTCAAACATTTCTGCAAGATATGGTCGAAAAGAAATGGTTGTTTTGTAAGGTACTAAATCTTTGCTGTGTAATTTTAATGGTACATATTTTATTGGTATGTGATTTTTCTCATTGAAATACATAATTCTTAGAATGGTCAATACTACATGGGGGTAAGAAGTATTGGAGAGTTATCTCAGTATTTCAAAGACTCACATGGAGATAAACTTCACACTTGTACTTTATGCAAGGAGGTCCTTTTTTATGTAAGTTGATCATAGCAATAATATGATACTTTTCAGTATGTTATCGTACATTAATAATTAATTTTATTATATATATCTTAATCATTTTACATAGGGTGAACAATGTAAACAGTGTAATAGTATGACACATATTTATTGCTTAAATGCTTATACAAGAGGTAAAAGAAATTTAGGATGCCCTAATTGTAACAATGTCTCAGAATTTAATATTTTAAGTCTCAGACTTGATAGTTCAGGTAATTTTCACTAATAGATTTATTTATAAAATTATATTTATATATATTTGTATTTTATATAACAAAGTTTTTTTTATTTAACTGATACTATCGTAATATCTAATATATTTGCTGTTTTTTATTAATAATTTCTAACAAATGTATTCTATGCTTTTCTAAGAAAATCTGTATTATTTAGATGATAATTCTGGTTTTGCAATGGATGATGAAGTAGAAGTTTTAACCAGCCAGACAAAAGTAGCGAGTCGGAAGAAGGGATTAAAGAGAAAACATTAATATCGAGCACATTTGCATTTAATATGTTATAAAAATTATTTTGGATATTGTAATGTAAATTAAATATAACTTTATACAAAAGAATTATGTACAATTCCTTGAAATAATACTAAACTATATTATTTACTGTGGTTTTTTTCAAACTTTTCTCTCAAGTATTTAAGCCCAGCCATTATATTATACTCATTCATACTATACGACAATGCTTCTTGTTTGCTTGTGTGTATGGTGTTATCACTAGATTCTGCACATATAATAGTGTTTTCACCAGGTAGAGGAATATCCTTGGTATTTGGCAATTCATGCTGCTCAGCTATGTGTGTCTCAGAATAGTCATATATAGTCACTTGTGAATATTTGTTAGGCAAGTGAGATAATGGATAAAAGACAGTTTGCTTCTGAGATTGCGATAGATTAGGTAAATTTGTAGCAAGATTTGACGTTGATTCCATCACATTTTTAGACAATTCATATTCTGTGTTATCTTTGTTGATTGTGATATTACTGTGTTGTGTTAAACTTTCCTTATCATTCTGACTATTACCAGTGTCTCTTGCATTTGAAACTAGCTTATCACTACTAATTTTATCTTTTCCTAAATTAGTACTAATGTCTTTAATATCATATGTAGCTTTCGCAGAGTTACTTGTTGCATTTTCAAGTTCCTTATTATCCTCGTGAGTAGACTGCTCATCAATATCTTGATTACTTTTGTAAAACCCAGTACTTCTAAAATTATCATATACTGGCGCGAATTCCTTGATTCTCTGTGTTCTACATTTGTGTACCCATTCTTCTTGTGACATAACATGCCAATGATTTTTCTTGCCCAAGAGCTCTCCAAACGCTTTTATCTTATCTTCATCACTTATTACTTTCTCAATAATAGCATTGCTTTCTTTAACGGACTTCTTATCAGTTTCTTCACTAGATTTGTCTTTGTTCTTCTCAGCAGATTCACCATCAACTTCCTTAGTATCAATATTATCTGTTTTGATAATACAGTTGTTCTCTCGAACTAATTCTTCTTCTGTAGGTTCTGCTGGCAAGCCTGCTCTAATCCGCTGTCTAATTCTTGCTGCCTTTAACCTATTCTGCTCCATCCTTTCCTTCAATTCCTTGATCTCCTTCATTTCTTTCTGCCTTTTCTCTGTCTCTTTCCTTAAATTCGCCAGGTTCTCCTGCTGTTTTATTCTTTTCTCTTCATCTTGCGAGAAAGCATAGTAACCAACACCATGAGTTCGTGCTTCATCAAATAGTATATCTTGGTAATGTATATCAGCTTTGTCTGCAAGTTTTTGTGTTTGCTCCTCCCATTTTCGCCTCATAATCTCAATTTCAGGCTCCTTTTCTTCAATAGTAGAATACTGTTCATTATCTTCTTCTATAGTATCATTATTAGCATTTTTCTTCATTATCTCCTGCTTTATTATGTCATCCTTCCTTTGCATATGTGGAAGATCCTCCCGCAAACATTTTCTAGTACGACCAAAACAATCCTGGTACTCCACCCAATTCTCCTCAGGTTCTATAGGATACTCTTCATTGATTGTTTCATCCATAAATTCATCACATTCATCCATCTTATTCTTGAAGTCAACAAGAAACTTATCATTATTATTCTTTGACTTCTTCAACTTCTCATACAATCTTGCTTTGGCTTCCAACATTAATCTTGATTTTTTGTGGGCAACAATGTCCTCTGGATCTATTATTTCCTTTGTATTCTTTTTTGTATCTTCTGCAATAGTCCTTTTGTTCCTTTTTTTATTTAGCTGTGGTAATGCATTGATAGGCTCAGTTTTCAGTTTAACCTCATTTACTTCAGCTTGTTTTCTTAACAACTCAGCTTTCAGACCAACCAAAGATGAAAAATTCACATTTATCTTCTTTGTCACATTCATATTTAGATTATTATTAACTTTATGTATATATATTATATACCAATAAATATGTATCACTTTCTTTATAAGGTAATGTTGATAGGAACTTTTTTGGAGGTCTTAAACGATAGAGAGTTATTAATAAACGTTGTCTACAAGCTTTTTTATCTGAAAAAGAAAATATAGCACTAAATTAAAAGTTGTAAAACTTTGTCTTAACAATCAACAGTACGTACATATTTTATGGAAAATGCACATATTCTATATACAAATATGCGAATTATAAAAATGTTTTATAATATTCTACGAAAATGAGTAAAGTCAAAATGTCTTTTAATAACATACATAATTCCTTCAAAATGATATATCACAAATTTAAGGTTATATTTTCTTCATCACTATAATCGTCCGTTCTTTTCAGCTGCACTGCTGAACTGGTGCAATAAGAAGCGTTTTTTCGTTTCGTGTCCACGATACCGTTTGGTTGATTGGTTTGGTCCACTTAATGCTCACAACGTCTCGAGCAACAAAGATAGAATGATGTTCGCGACGTTGCGAGCGTTAAGTGGACCAAACTAACCAACCAAATGCTACCGTGGTTACGAAACGAAAAACGCCTAAAGGTGCCTTTACATGGGAGCATCTAGCGTCGAGCGTTAAAGTGGTAGCCAATCAAAGTGGTGCCACTTTCCGCAAGAACTACAAGTATACTTCTGGGACCTGATACGTTGATTGGCTAACGCTTTAACGCTTGACGCTGGAACGCTCCCATGTATTGGCACCTTAATGGTTCCTGCACACAGGACACGGTAATGTTTGCCGTGCGGCGGAAGTTCGCGCGACAGCCAATCAATATGCTGCTTTCCGTAATAACCTTCTAGCTCTTACGGAAAAACAACATATTGATTGGTTGTCGCGCGGACTTTCGCCGTGCGGCAAGCATTACCGCGTCCTGTGTGCAGGAGCCATTACGTTACTGTTATGTCAATTCGTGTGCGGCGCTCCTTAAGGCCCTCACACATGAAATGACATAACTGCATATGCATAGCATAAGACTGTATAAACCAATGAGCATCAAGTATTTAGCCACCTTATTGATGCTTGATGCTCAATACTCGATGCTCATTGGTCCATACAATCTTATGCTATGCACATGCAATTATGTCATTTCATGTGTGAGGGCCCTTAGGTTTCCCCTTATGGTTCCGGGAGCGGTGCACTTGGACACGGTGCATTTGGACACAGCCAATTACAGCACCGTGTGATTAGAGACATTTGTAGGGTCCCTTGGAACAGCGACTTGTGATTGGACTGTGTCCAATTGCCCCGTGTCCAACTGATATACACCCTATGGTTCCTGCCCACAGAACGCGGTAACGCTTGCCGCGCAGCGGAAGTTGGTACGACAGCCAATCAATATACCATATTCCGTAATAACTTTCTAGCTCTTACGGAAAAACAACACATTGATAATAATCTAAATATGAATGTGACAAAGAAGATAAATATGAATTTTTCATCTTTGGTTGGTCTGAAAGATGAGTTGTTACCGCGTTATTCCCTTATGCCACGCGACAGCCAATCAATATGTTGTTTTTCTGTAAGAGCTAGATGGTTATTACGGAAAGCAGCATATTGATTGGCTGTCGTGCAAACTTTCGCCGCGCGGCAAGCATTACCGCGTCCTGTGTGCAGAAGCCATTGGGTGCTTTCCAATTGCTTAACACATCTTGACACATATGTACACAGAAATGCACAAAGTGTAACGTTGTGCACGATTCAATTGGAACAAAGTGTATATGTATGTCGGGTAGGGTTAGGATTATTTTTCAACTGTGCTTATATTTTGGTATTTTTTAATAATAAATAATAAAATCTAAATATTAAAAAGATATTATCTACTTCACGTCGCAAATGCCAGTTTTTTTTAAGCCGCTACGCTTATTAACTTTAATTGTCACTAGAAAACACTAGTTTATACAACCGACTAGTAGTCCTCGTGCTGAGTACGGATGTGTAATGTTGTGTCAACGATTACGAATAGGAGAACAGCTTTCTAATATAGAATTGAATTCTCCATTGGAAAGCTATTCTTTTATTGGATATCGGACGTCGTACTCGGACATCGGACGCGGTGTGAATCCTGCATAAGGGTGCAAACTCATGTAGCGGAATAGCGGAACTCGGAACGAGAGCGGAACCAATCATGAGCGGAAGCAATGGTTGCGTTCAGCAGAGAAAGCTGCTTTGCAACTGTTGTAAAATTCGTAAATCTGATTGGTGTATGGTCTTAATTTTGGTTAAATACAAAAGCATATACCAATCAGATTCACGAATTTTACACAGTTGCAAAGCAACTTTCTCTGCTAAACGCAGCAAATCACAAGCGAAAACTGTGGAACGATGTGAATCCTGCATTACTTAAGACGGTCTTGAAATAAGATCGACTACCGGCCTAGGATTCATAGCGTGCTTTCCAATTGCTTAATACATCTTGACACACACGTACACAAAACCAGATTATTGGTCACATATTATCTAAAATATCTTGTAAAATAATAAACAATGGAACCAATAAACTGGTTTTGTGTAACACAGTGTATGCAACTGGAAAGCACCCATAAATGCACTTCCGATATCTGGAGAATTGGACTTTTCGATCTGATTGGTGCATTTCTAGAGATAGATTAAGACCATGATTGGTCTATACTTCACTCAAAATAATTGTAGCGTTTACTGAATCGCGCCTAGAGAAAGCTGCCTTGCAACATTTAAGGGTACGTTCAGATTCCCTACCCGGGTGCACTCTAATACTAGAAGTGCTATAGTATATGTAACATATACTATAGTGTTTCTAGTAATAGAGTGCACCCGGGTAGGGAATCTGAACGCACCCTAAGGTGCTAATACATGGGAGCGTTCCAGCGTCGAGCGTTAAAGCGTTAGCCAATCAACGTATCAGGTTCCAGAAGTATATTTGTAGTTCTTGCGGAAAGTGGCACGTTGATTGGGTACCGGTTTAACGCTCGACGCTCGATACTCCCATATAAAGACACCTTTACGAATCTGATTGGTGTATGCTGTTAAGCGGGGTTTACAATCGTAGAGTCATAAATCATAGAAATTGACCAATTGCGGTCGATTATTCTTCTCTTACTCGATCGCGATTGGTCAATTTCTATGACTTATGACTTTACGACTTTCCATTGTAGACCCCGCTTTAATCTTGACTGAGCCTGAAAGCATAAGCGAATTAGAGCCCTTGCACAATGCCAGGCTATAGGCAATAGAAATAGGCATTAGCCAATGGGAACAGGGAATAGAAATAATTGACCAATCCGAATTCCTATTCTCTGTTCCTATTTCCTGTTGCCTGGCATTCTGCAAGGGCCCTTAGCTTCACAAATTCTGCTTTCTTTGCTGAATGCAGCCATTTTCTTGTCGGACACACTTCTAAATACATCAAAAAAAAAGGGTTCAGATCTTTCTATTTCCAAGTATAAGCGGAAAGCCGCCATCTTGCCTCGGCATACAAGCGAGGTTCTGAAAGTGCCACGTGACGACGCGTTTAAAAGTTGCGAGACCGCCAGGGCGACTTGAAAAACACGTGCATCCAGATCTACGTCGCATCTGTCCGAGATTGCCACGCCATCGAACGCGCTTCTCGCTCTTCTGTTCCTCGATCGATCACGAGATCAGATTAGTAACGTGTCCGTCGGCAACGATTAGTACGATTCAACGAGACTTGCGAGCAATCGTCAACCATCGCGCGCAGCTACACTTTTTCCACCGGACGGACGACTCGACTCCACAACGTGACTTATCAGACTGCAAATCGATTGGCGATTACCGGAAGATCTCCGCGCTGCTGTCGAGGGCGCAGTTGCGCCGTGGTAGATAAGTCTTGTTCACGGGAAAAGCGCCTAGTCGAAGGGCTTCGTGGCACACACCGGCCGCTACTGCGGACAAGTGGATGCGGGTGCGAAACGCTTAGACCTCTGCTGTTATTTGCGCATCAACGGTTGAACGGGTCAGCACACGGTCAGTCGGTCGATTCGCCTACTCATTTCAGCAGCATTTCAGTAACAGAGCAACTCAAGTTGAGTAATCGGATCCATCGCAGAGCAGCCGACAGAAGTTAAATGGCACCGCGCAAGCAAACCAAGGTAGCGGAAAGCGTCGTCGCGGACGCCAACGGCGATGCGTCGCCCCCGAGGAAAAGGAAGGCCGCGACGGCGACTAAGCCGGTGGCTGAGGAATCGAAACAGGTGCGTGGTCTTCGGCGAGGGAAAGCGGAGAAGGCCGAGATTAATGATAATATGGTGATCGATACGAGTCCGCCTAAGAGAGCACGCGGTGGCGGCGGCAGAAATAAGACTGCCGAACCAAAGCCCGCTGTTGAGACAAAGAGCGGCAGGTCCAACAAAGTCGCCAAAGCCGAGGAAACGATAAACAACAACGCACACGAGAAGGCGCCGAAGCAAACGACCGAGAAGAAAGCACGCGCCGCCAAGACCACGGGCGCGATGGCGAAAAAGGCGGGAACGAAGGAGCAGCCCGCGGCGAAGCCGAAGGCCAAAGAGTCTGCCAGGAAACCGAGGAATAACATCGCCGCTACCGAAAACGGTGCCGGCGGGAACACCACAGAAATGGATGTCGCGGCCACATCGACGAAGAGGACTCGCGGGAAAGTGATGGAGAAGGAAAATGCCATGCCGGCGGCGCGAACTGCCACTGCAGCTAAGGCGCCGAAGAAGCGCAAGAACGTCGAGGAAAAAACGATCGAGGACGCAGAGGTCGTTGAAGAGGAGGCTGCGGTCACCGTGCCCGATAAGAAGCCGCGCGGCAAACCGAAGAAGGCGGCGGGAGCACAGGCCGCCAATGAACGTAAGCTTTGAGGCACTTTGGCTTTCTGGCTTTCTAGGTCTTTGTAAGACTCAAAAGTCGAGTTTGGCGCTCAACGGTGTACTGTCAGGTGGACCTTGAGTGTCCTCCCGGCCGTGTGTATCAGTAGAAATTAAGAGAACAACGGAAGGCAAACAATTAATTTTCGCGACTTGAGAGAGAGAGAGGAAAAAAGAATCGGAAAAAGAGAGAAATTTATCCCAGATTTGTCAGGAAAGAAAACAAAGACTCTGAAAATTTGTTCAATCAAATGTTTCTCTGCCTTTATCAATGTGAAATTATGTAAAACCTTTGTAAAATAACGAATGATAAAGAATTTAACAGTTAACATACATACAAACACACATTTGAGTTCTTATTGATACCTATTGAGCTGGAGTGAACTTTCATAGCTGGCAAGCTATGAGAGCAGCTTCTATTATTTTTACGTGCACTTATGCAACATTGTTCTGTGCACTCGTGTAATTTTTGACTATCTTTAGCAGAAGTGAAGCCCAGAGGGAGAGCTAAGAAGAACACTGCTAAAGCAGAGCCTGCCAAATTATCAAAAGAAATTGAGGAGGAGGAAAAAGAGTCGAATACAGCTGAACAAGAGGATAGCGCAAAAACAGACAGTACAAAAAACACAAAGAAAGGAAATGCAAAGAAAGTTGCTCCCAAGGGAAAGCGCAATACTGCACTGGAGAAGGATCAAGATGCTCAAGCAGATGAGGCAGCAGATGCTGAAGCTGATGTTCAAGAGAATGGGAAGATAGAAAATGTACAGTCCAAACAACAGAAGAAACGGAATATGGGTAAGGCAAACGCGACGATGAAAGAAAAAACCGAAGCAAGGGGCAGACAAAAAAAAGGACAAGTTGCAGCTGCTGAAGACGTGAAGGAGATTGCAAAGGACGCGAACGTGGAAGACGACGCTGCCGAAAAAGTGAACACTGTGTCAGAGGCACAAGATGAAAGCGACGCGAATGAAGTTGCTCAAAGCGATAATGCTTCAAATAAGAAGGAAGCCAAAGGTGAAGCGGATCAAGTCAAACTTCCAGAATCAGTGGATAGTGAGCAACCAATTGAGAATGAAATTCTAGAGAGCGAGGCGAACACTTCGACAGATAAGGATGAGAATTAATGCTGAGTGTTTCCTAGAAGTGGTATATTCCTTAAGAACTTAAATGGTTTGGAGTCATGTGAATTCAATAATATCTCAATTTGTATCTGTGTGTACGACTCTTAGGAGTCCAATATCAGGTCGTCCTACAAATAATGCAGTTTTTGAAAGGCGAAAATTTTTATCACACAAATTCGCTTTTATCACAAGCGTATTAGACTATTTTTTAATGAAATTGTAAGTATAGGATATGTAAGTATAAAATACAAAGAGAAATATATATACTCGGATTACGTTCGCATGTCAGTCTAAAAGCGACTTAAGTCTTTGTTCTAAAGAACAAAGACTTTTGTCGATAGAAGTGTCTTTAAATATGACTTACAAACTTTTTGAGATTGATTTATGAATACATTTAGGGCTGATCCTCCTGAATAGCAGTTTGAACTTGGGTTTAAGTTTAAACTCTGTTTAAAGACATCAAATACATTGTTAGGATAGAGTTTAAAGTTAAGTCTAAGTTTAAATTACTACTAAAAAATCGGCCTTTGGAGACACTTTATCGATAATAAAAAAGAGTTCAGAATAATCCTTAACGATACCGGTTAGTCCACACAAGTGTGTTACATGATATGACGGTTATATCGCAACATTTGACACCGATAAATTATAAGATGGAAAATTAACTCGATTTTACAAATTATCTACGAATGTCCGGCTTGAGGCCGCCGTGTAAACGTAGTCTCCATTTCTCATGTCGAACTAAAAGGATGCAGCACAAAGAACTGCGCTGCTTATAGGACAACCTGATATTTTAACATATTTATCGCGCATGACACTTGCAGTGTGAAGTTTAAGGTTCCTGTAGAGGTGCTCTGTACTATATTGGCGATTTTTATCAGTTTCGAATCACCAAATGCTGCCACTTGCGAGATAATCAGCGATCAACAGCGAGATTCATGTAATTTCGTATAGCTCGGATCTCCAGGAGCTCCACATATACACACACTTTATCATTATTATGATTATTCTATAAATAATTATGATTCTTTTTTTCTTTTTAATGAGCGAAACGTCGACGAATTTGTCAATACAGTACGGACTACCGCTACTGATATAAAACACGCGATATTGTGGTGTAATGTTGAATCGCGCGGCTCAGTATGGCATAAGGTATTAAATCTGGGAGCCTTAATAATGTTCTGAAAAGGATATATTTATTTTTTTGTGAGGAAAAACAAAGTTTACACGAAAGAAATTACAACATTGGCTGTATTGTATAAGTATGTGTGGCGAAGTTGTTACCGGACAAAGTTTCGAGCAATACAAAACATATTTTTTTACAGACGTGTCTTTCCTCGAGAACGTTTAATATTGAATTTTCAGCTGTGTATATCAATGATAACGATGATGATAACGCGTAGTGCCATAAGGAAATTTGATAGAATTCAAAATTCTGGATTCTCTTCCAACGAAATTCGGGATGTCTCATTAGAATCAAATAAGGTATCCTGAATTTCGTTGGATGATGACACTGGTCGAGTAATTCCAAATTCGGGTAAATTCATTTTTTACACAGACAACGATAAAATGATCATTTTTTCTTCTTGCTAGTCTCTAGATTGATCCTAATTCGAATCTTTTTGAATTACGGACAGGTTGTTCTAATCTCTTGATAAGCTACATGACAGTTAAATCATATATTTGTCTTCGTTTTTTCTTCAAATTAAACAGAAACAGACACATAATTTAACTGTTAGGTAACTTATCAAGAGATTGGGACAATTGATTCTATATCTGCAGGAATATCTATAAGAAATGAAATTTGTGATATTCGATGTGTCATTATCAAACGAATTCCGCATGTTTTATTGGATCTAATAAAACGTTGGTAAATCTCGTCGAATAGTAGCATTGTTAAAAAATTTCATTTTTTAGATTCCAGAGGATATAATAAGATTTAAGTTGCGGGCAATCGAGAGACTGACGAGAAGAATGAAGGTTGTTTTATCGCTGTCCATGTAGGAATTGAGCGTATTACATATTTTTCTAAAAAGAACTAACGATTCATATTTGTGACAAACTTTCCTTTCTCTAGTCTTATAGTTTTATTCGCAACATCTTATTAGAGAATGATGCAGTTGATTACGATCGCTCTTAATGAAAACTTAATTTTGCGTTTACCAACTTTTTGTATAAGACAAAACAGGTTTTTGATGTTAAACAGCTCTTTGTTCTTCCTGTTTCTTTTTTTTTTTTAATATTAGACATTATATTTAAACTGTCGTTGTTAACTAATCAGAGTGTTTGTACTACTTTTAGAAGATACTTTATACATATTTCTGGATAAATTTGGATAACCGTATCTCAGTCTGCACATTTTATACAATTAAATATTATAATATTACCAGCGTTCTGTTCAATAATATGTGTAGCGCATTTATCGCTAATCGTTAAGATATTCAATATGTACGAAGTATATGTTTATTTCTGTAACGCCGTACCTTTCATAACTATTACCCCCAATAATGGAGATTTTCTTTTCACTTCAAATAAATTGAATTTTTTGTGTTTCCGATATATAATTCCTAATATTTCAGTATTTACAGTAGCTGATATTTATTTTGTAAACATTATATTACATATAAAAATATCCTTTTTTCCCCTCCAAAGATTTTTCGTTTTTTTTTTTACTGAATTTTTTCTTTTAACCAATAGTTACCACATTTGTATATTCGCGCGTGTTGCGACTAGAATTTATGATCGATTATTACTTCGAGTTTGTTGAAATGCGGCAAAAAGGACCTCTCGCGGAACCTGAAAACTATTGATTCGTAACGAATGTTTTCAAGCTAAAATAAAGAATAAAATTATATCATAATTGTGATGTCATTATCGTTGTCCGTAGTTTGCTAAAAGTTTTTAAAAATAAAATTGAAATAAAAACTTGGTAATTTGTTCGAATTCAATACGAATTCTTATTTTTATTTATTTTGAATTTTTAAAAGTCTAATTGCGGAATCTGGCTCTTTAGTAGGTTTATAAGTTGTTCCATGAATATTTCCAAACAATCCTAGTAAGAAAATAAACAAAAACGACTTATGGCTCCTGCACAGGACGCGGTAATGCTTGCCGCGCGGCGGAAGTTCGCGCGACAGCCAATCAATATGCTACTTTCCGTAATAACCCTCTAGCTCTTACGGAAAAACAACATATTGATTGGCTATCGAGCGAATTTCCGCCACGTGGCAAGCATTACCGCGTCCTGTGTGCAGAAGCCATTTATGTAAATGCTACCAAGTGTAGCTAATAGCATGTTCGACTGGCTATGGGTTAACCCACTCTGGGTTATTCAGCCTATGTTTATTGGTCGAACAAGTCCTTATAAGCTTTATTATTGGCTGTAAAGACTTATGACGTCATTAATCGCTCTTGGAGCGATTAACTCAGGGCTAGTCGAACACGCTATTAGCTATATTAACTTCCAGTTGTTGCATCCTCACGAACGATACATAATGGCTGCGTTCAGTAGAGAAAGCTTCTTTGTAACTGTTGTAAAATTCGTGAATCTGATTGGAGTATGCTCTTAATTTTGGTTGAATTCAAGAGCATGTACCAATCAGATTCACGAATTTTACAATAGTTGCAAAGCAGCTTTTTCTGCTTAACGCAACCAATGACTGCATTCGGCAAAGAAAGCTGCTTTGCTACGCTCATTGGCTATCGCGCGTCGCACATCAGGTGTGGTGTCGTAAATCGCACTGATCTGCAAGAGCCATTAGTATTCGCTCATATAAATTGAAATCTGATCGTACAATTAGAAAAGATTAAAGGCCGGTTTATGATAGTCATAATCCGTTAACTTATATTGAAACCGTAAAAAATTGATCAATCACAGTCGACTATTCTTCTATAATTCAACTATAATTCGTCAATTTTTTACGGTTCCGACATAAGTTAACAGATTAGAGCCTTCGGCTGGTTCTACAATTCGTATGTCGCTGTCGGACATCGGAACGCAATCGATGAGCCAATCAGAGGATTTGTTTTTCGAGACGAGTTCTCCTGATTGAACCATTGATTGCGTTCCGACATTTGAATCCGTCATATGATGTATTGTAGAACGGGCCCTAGCACACAACTGTCGTAACGTAAGACGTACCGTAGGTTACACGACATTTTTCCGAAAACTAAATGGAAACATGTTGATACCAACAAAAACCCCTAAGTAACACAATTTTAATTTCTACGGATTAGTGACAGTTTGTTATTTGACACATACACACACATATGTCAAAACGACTTCGCAAAATTCATGGACTTGCTACTTCTACAGTATCATTAATCGGCAGAAATTAAACTTGTTGCCTAGGGGTTTTTGTTGGTACCACCATTTTCCTTTGAGGCTGCGTTCAGATTTCCCACCCGGGTGTATTCTATTACTAGAAGTGCTATAGTATATGTCACATATATTATAGTGTTTCTAGTAATAGAGTGCACCCGGATGAGGAATCTGAACGCACCCTGAAAGGAAAGCACCCACTAGTGAACACAGAAACAGATCAGGAGCTCGATTCTTGACGGTATGCGAATGAGATACGCATGCGAAAATGTTCACATTAGGCTGCGTTCAGATTCCCCACCCGGGTGTATTCTATTACTAGAACTGCTATAGTATATGTCACATATACTATAGTGTTTCTAGTAATAGAGTGCACCCGGATGAGGAATCTGAACGCACCCTTACGTATACTGTAGATGTTCGCATGCGTATCTCATTCATACATCTTCAAGCATCGGGTCCCAGGAGTTCATCTCACGAACAACAAAGGGTAATGTATCATACTTAAAGTGTATTAATATTTTTTCTTTATTTAAAAAATTATGTAATATATTTCAGTTTATTAATTATTTGAGATTCTCAAACTTTCCTTAAACAAGGACTGAACCTATATTAATAGTTATTGAAACTTGTCTCACATCAGATGGTCAGATTGCAATTATCAAAGATTGCAAAGAGCTTGATTAATTTATTTTAATTGAACCGTATAAAATATGTGACATATTATATATAATCTTGATTCAGCTGAAAAACACATCTAAGTATAAATTTAAGATAAAATATTAATACACTTTAAATATGATACATTACCCAAGTAACGTGTCATTTAAGAAACGTTTTTAATATATTTTACAAACGATAATAAAACGTTACATACATTTATAAAACGTATATAAAACCAACATGTGCTACCAGGGTACCCTTTGTTGTTCGTGAGACGAACTCAATCTGCTCCTGTGTTCATGAGACTGCAAAAGCAGGAGCAAGAGCAGACCATAGAATATTACAGTTGTAGATGGGAGATTGTACTATTCTTTCGGATCCAGATCTCACTCGCTCTACTCTCGTTATCATAAGCACCCACAGCTAGTCGAACATGCTATAAGTTTACGAGTAGTTGATGCACCATTGAAAATACGACACTGAACCTATTTAAGGCGTTTTTACTGCGCGATGCACGTATATTGAAAAACGGCCCTGCCTTTTAACAGACAGCTCAGCCTGCTCAGCGATATCGAAAAGGTGCGGAATTGAAGCACCGCGTTTGTTAATTTCAAAGAACGATAGATACTTGCGACAATGGCGGCCATCAGTCTGTTGAATCCGAAAGCCGAATTTGCCCGAGCGGCACAAGCGTTAGCGGTAAACATCTCCGCTGCCAAAGGCATTCAGGATGTGATGAAAACCAATTTGGGTCCTAAGGGAACCATGAAGATGTACGTATTCGCCGACTCACATGTTCGCTTTATTCCTCATTCCGTCTTATTTTCGTCGATTTCCTTTGTACTGAGTAATGTTGAGCGCGAACAATCACAAAATAAAATTTCCAACCTGCTTTCGGCTTCCGATCATCAAAATGTGGCACGATACAATATCCTGACGTTTCTTATTCTCCTTATTTGGACATGTCGTACATAGATTGTACCGACAAGAGAAGGCGTCGATGTTTTTTGAATGTTTTTAACTCTTTTTCCTTCTCCAAGATATTAACATTTATTTTTTACAATTACGACACTTGTATATTTACAATATGAGCAGAAATAAAGTATTAACTAATATATGCTTATTAGCAATTTTAATTTAGTACAAGTCCTTGTTTAATCACAAAGATGTTTGAAAGAGAATATTTTTTGAATCGGTCAAATTTACAGGTTGGTTTCAGGAGCTAAAGATATCAAAATTACCAAAGATGGTAATGTGCTTCTACATGAAATGCAAATTCAACATCCTACAGCGTCCTTGATAGCTAGAGCATCCACTGCTCAAGATGATATGAGTGGTGATGGTACCACTAGTACTGTGCTAGTTATTGGTGAACTTTTGAAGCAAGCTGATTTATACATATGTGAAGGACTACATCCCAGAGTGATCACAGAAGGTTTTGACTTAGCTCGTGCTAAGACATTAGAAATCTTAGATTCTTTGAAGATCCCAATAGAACCCATTAAGCAGAATCTAATGGATGTTGCAAGAACTTCACTTAGAACAAAGGTCCACCATACTGTAGCTGATAAGTTAACTGAGATCTGCGTAGATGCTGTATTGGCTATTAAGCAGCAGGATCAAGAAATAGATTTGCACATGGTCGAATTAATGGAGATGCAACATAGAACAGCAATCGACACCACTCTGATTCGTGGCATAGTCACCGATCATGGAGCCAGACATCCAGATATGCCAAAAAGACTAGAGAATGCATACATTCTCACCTGCAATGTGAGTCTGGAATATGAGAAAAGTGAGGTAAGTGTGCTTTTAAAAGAGAATTTAATATAATATAGGTCTATATCAATAGTCATTACTTAAAACTTATCCCATATGAAATACTCTGATCTGAATCTAGATTTAGAGATTTAAGTTTTTTATTTGAATCATATAATATACGTAACATTACATTTGTAATTGTGATTTAGCTGAAAAACGTTTAATTCTAAATTAAAATTTAAGTATCTCACAGAGGTAAGTTTCAAATAACAATTAATTATAGTCATAGTGTAATATGTTCAAGAGACCTAAAAGCATAGTTTGAATTCTTGTTTTGCAGGTGAACAGTGGATTCTTCTACAAGTCAGCCGACGAGCGCGAAAAATTGGTAGCTGCTGAACGTGTGTTCATCGATAATCGCGTGAAGAAGATTGTCGAGTTGAAGAAGAAGCTGTGCGATGGAACAGACAAGTCGTTCGTCGTGATAAATCAAAAAGGAATCGACCCGCAATCCCTCGACATGCTCGCGAAGGAAAACATCATTGCTTTGCGTAGAGCCAAGCGCAGAAATATGGAGCGTTTGGCGCTCGCGTGTGGTGGTGTAGCCATGAATTCTGTGGATGATTTAAAAGAAGAACACTTAGGATGGGCTGGCCTTGTATATGAACATGTTCTGGTAAATCTCTATTTTCGTAAAGCATGCTCTAATAATTATCGTAAGGTTAATTTGATAATGAATATTTCATCTATTTCATTTTAGGGAGAGACTAAATATACTTTTATAGAAGAGTGCAAAAAACCAAATTCTGTCACCATTCTGTTAAAGGTAAAGCGATGGATTGTTATTACTATTATATATTAAATTGATTAAATAGATTGTTATTACTATTATATATTAAATATGAATATATTAAATATGAATACAAATATGAATACAAATATGAATAATTGCTGATGCATTGGTGTGATTCAGGGACCGAATAAGCATACGCTGATACAATTAAAAGATGCTGTACGCGATGGACTTAGGGCAGTAAAAAATGCCATTGACGATCGCGCAGTCGTTCCTGGAGCTGGTGCTTTCGAGGTTGCAGCCAGTCAAACTCTTCAACAGTATAAAGAGAAAGTTAAAGGAAAGCAACGTCTAGGAGTGCAGGCCTATGCAGAGGCTTTACTCGTCATTCCGAAGACTCTCGGTAAATATAACATTTATTAATCTAAACGTAAGAAAGAGATAGTAGATAAAAGCCCTATCGCAGTTATTGGTGCATTGAAGGAAATCATCTATTAAGTGAAATGTCGATGTCTGGTTATTTGTTACGTAGTGTTAATTGTTTATCATGTATAATTGCGCATTGATAACTGCAATAAAACTCTTACTGATTGTTTCTTTCATGTCTAAATTTGTCCTTACAAAAGAGCTCCTTTTTTTGAGGCTCCTAACTATTTGCTGTGAAACTCTTGATTGATAATGTCGAAAGCGAGAAAATACACGCTCAAAATCCCTGCAAAATATATAAAAATAAAAAGACATCCACAAAATAACACTCGCAATCGATGAAGCTGATATATAAAATAGTCCAAACACTTTATTTTTACTCTAACAGTCAATAAATAACCATAAGATTAATATGACATGCAACCTTTCTTTTTAATTTTTTTTCATTTTTTTTTTTATTTTTGTTGTTAATTTTACAGCTATTCATTGATTATTAGAATAGGAAAATATTCAGACTATTTTACAAATTGCTTGATCAATGTCATTTTATGAATATATCTTTTTATATATATTTCTCAATGTAAAAACGTATTATTAATCAGATTACTTTTATTAATGTGATGTTGATGTTGTTGCTATATCATTATCCTTTTTATTCCTTATATTTCCAGCTATTAATAGTGGATTCGATTCGCAAGATACAATTGTGAAATTATTTGAGGAAAGTACTACTTTAGGAGAGGCAGTAGGATTGGATCTATCTACAGGAGAAGCTTTAAAACCTGCGGATGTTGGGATTTATGATAATTACAATGTGAAGAAACAAATTATCAATTCTTGGTAATATTTATTATGATATGCTATCAAAATTTGATGTTACATATTTAAGTGGATAATCACATCATATATGCAAATTTTTTAAATTTTCAGCACAATTATTGCCAGTAATCTTCTTCTGGTCGACGAAATAATGAGGGCGGGATTATCTTCACTTAAAGGATAAATATTGTGACGCAATTTTTTCTTGTGGAACTGAGAAATTTTAAGGACCATTAAATCTTTTTTCACACAAAGTTAAATTACTAAATTATTATTCATTTTGCACTGTACCTGTTAACTGAATTTGTCACTTAATCTTGCTTTTAATATAACTGTTTAATACAATAATTAATACATTCAATGTTAATAAAATAATGCTTTCGTAAGGAATATTTCGTTTACTTATCAAATTCATAACAAGGTAAGATTCAAACTGAAAGAGTGATGTATGGAGTGTCTTTGAAAGTATAAATCCATAGCTGTATGAATAATGTGAGCATATATTTTAAACAAAAAGAAATAAATTAAGCGACCAAAAGGAAATTCGGTGCAAAGACATGTACAAGTTTATGATCCTATAGAAACGATTATATTTGCTGTGGTATTTCCTTTTTTTCTTAATTAAAAGGTACATGTATGTAATAAGTTTTTTTTTATTAGAGTTGAGAGAGAGAGAGAGATATATATATATATATATATATATATATATATACACATGTGTGTGTATATATGTGTGTGTGTACACACACGTATACACAGAGTAAATTACATACAAGACAATTTATAAAAATCAAAAATATTTATTTGAAGTATAATACACATTATTTACAGTCTTTTCTAAAAGCTATTTCTGTACGATACACTTGTTCTGTACTAGTACACTTGTCAGTCTTGTCTTTTCATAGAAAATCTTCCTGATTCTTGCTGTTTTCTATCATATATTAAATGAACAATTTAACGAAAAGTATGATCATAACAATGGTATACGAGACTAAATTAAATAATCTTACTAAGAGCATACACAAGTACAGGTTATGCTCCATTATTATTATATGCGCTAACTCGTCTTATCCTGATTTATTTATATCATATCTATATACATATTGCGCATATTCAGTAGTGAAATTGCGCATCACATGAGTTTAAATTAAATATCCAGCTTTACCTTCATCTCGCAAAAAAATAAGAGATAAACGACATATTTACATCATATAAGTGCGTGACACATTCACTTCTTTTGACATCGGCTATAAGTACTTGTGCTGCTATTTTGAACGAAGTAAACACTACACAATGTTACTCGACACGAACGGCTAACGTATAATTACGAGAAAGATTTTATAAAAGTAGTATTAAAAATAGTTTTATTTCGTTACTGTCGTCCTGATGTTTGTTAATTATCGTGATGTATAACTTTACAATATATTTGTGAATTAAAAAAAAACAAATATTAATTTAGCAGAGAGTGCTATCTCTCGTGTGCAAAGAAAAACCTCACATTGGAACATTTACATTTTCGAAACAACAAATTTGTAATTAAGGCCCGTATTAATAATCATTATTTGAAACTCATCTCAAGTGATATACTGAGATTTTAATTGAATAAAATGACAGTTTTAAACTGAATCGCGATTATATATAAATCGCGATATTATACATAATAATAATATCGCAAAATTTGTTAGATATAAACATTACATATATCATAATTAAATTAAAACCTTGAATCTAACTCCGGATAAAAATTGGAATATCTTACGTGGGGAAAACTTTAAGTGCCAACTATTAATACAGGCCTAAGATTACCAATTACAATAACGTTAATCGTTTACCGCTTGTTTTTCTTTATCTAATACATAATGTTATCATCACTTCTACCATATGTATACGTTATATAATACGAAGAAATGTGACAGCAGAGCAAAGAGACAAAGACAACTTAAATATCAATTTAACGTTAAGATATATTTTTACTTTACTCTCGCTATCGCAAGCAAATCGCATCGTGTATTGACATAATAAAACCCGAGCTTTTTCTCATTGATGTTTCACTTATATAAATGGATTTCTATAATAATCGGTAGTACATCGCTATTTAACGAATATACAAAAATTCCAGGTTTAAGCCGTACAGGAAAAATGAAGTTTATCTACAAAAAGAAATAAGAAAAGTAAAATAATAATCGAGAGACATTTATATGTGTTGTGAGAAGAGTTTGGCGTGTATGGGGTCGTGTTTAATGTCCTTCAGCACCACTTTCGGGTTGATATTGATCAGTTGGGCGAGAGTAGTGCAGCTCACTTTCATGCTGTGACCACCGAGCATCATGTATGTGTTCACTTTGGCTAGATTAATAGGATCGCTCGGTACGCCATAATGCGAGGACCGTTTGCTCTTGGTCTCTTCGTCAGACTCTGTATCCATGACCAAGCTGCGCTGACTGACTTTGCTCGTCGTAGCCTCGCGCAAGTGCTTCGGCAACGGATTCGTAGATTTACGTGCGACAGCTTTGAACGCACGGGGACTCGGTTTCGTGTACGGGACGATCGACTTGGTCGTGGACTTCTTCGCAACTGCGTGACCAGTCGATTTTGGTCGTACGACATCTCGAATACTATTCTGACTGAAATCGCTCTTTGACGCGACATTATCGCCGTCGCTCGCCACATTGCTCTGCTTGAACCTCTTGATCAACTTGTCCACGACCGCATCGAAATTCGAGATGCTCTCGATTTTGGTTGGCAGACCCAGATGTTTTTCTGAACTATGCGCGGACACCCCTACCGGCGTGTTGAAAGCTTCATCGCAATATTTACATTTGAATAGATTCACATGCCTGACCACGTGCTTCTTGATCGTGGCGAGAAAAGTAGTGGTGTACGAGCAAACGCTGCAAACGAATCTCGTCTCGTCTTCTTGCTGTTGTTGCTTCTTAAAATTTGACGGTAAGTGTGAATGGAACATATTATGGTGAGTCTTCATGTCGTTATCTGTCTCGCAGAGCTCGTGGCACCACTGACAGATCCATCCTTGGCCGGCCGCAGCATCCGAGGAACTGCACAATGGATTCTCCTCCGATTGCTTTGCGAAGTCGCATGACGATTCGGCAATCTTCATTATCGTTTCACTTAGTTTCTTCCTGTGCAACTTCATCGACATCATTTGCTCTCTTTTGAATACCCTCGCAGACATCTGACACTCTCCGTACATGAACGGCAGACCACCACTGGTCGTCTTGTTTGCATTGGGCACATTAGGTGATCCCTCTTTGTGCATCAGATCCCAATGTCGCATGAGGAACACCAATGACTGACTACGGTTGTTGCAGTACGTGCAGCTATATACCGTAATGTTTGTATCATCTTCGTCGGGAGATTCCATGTGTTCTTCTTCTATGTCGTCCGTATAGATGTCTATGTTTCGTTTTTTAACTTGCGACGACCCGTTACCACTCGACTCACCAGACGAACAGCTAGCCAATGGGACTTGTGTCAGGAACGGCAGATGTTCATGATTTACTTGCCAATGCTCCACTAGTTCAGCTTTCACGGAACAACTATACGTGCAATAAGGACATTTGATGTGCTTGACAACGTGCGAACGCATGTGCGACTTCAGACCGGTGTAGTTTGCGGCCGTGAAGCCGCACACCTCGCATTCATATCCCTCGGAACGTTCTTTGTTGCTGCCTCTATCGTCTGCCTTTGTGTCATCTACGTTTGACTTACGCCTCTTCCTGATTTTCAGTGGGCAGACCAGCCCGTACTCCTTCTCCCAAAATTCGTTGGTCAATTCGGGTCCACCTGCAGCTGGATTGTGTACAATCTTCATTTCACGGTCTCGATGTTTGGCACGCATGTGTTGGCGTATCATCTGCTCCGAATTAGTGCTGCGGTCGCAGTAAGGACATAAAAAGCCGAGCCGCTTCAAGTGCCTCAGTTGAACATGCAGCTTGAAGCCGCGACGTCGATCAAACTTTAAGTTGCAATGCTTGCATATCAGTTTAGTCTTCAGCTCGTCTTTCTCAAAAGCTGCGCATGAAAGTTTATTGTTAGTAATGATAGTGAAGTATTGGCTCCCATAATACACTGTGGCTTGTGAGAGGGCCACAAAATTAATATACTTGTCTTCTTAACTTACTTATCACTAATTCGCGCCAACTTATTTATTACATTGCCCTCAGCTTATCTTTAAATCCTTACCCGGAAGCTTCTCGTCTTTTCTCTACGTTAAATTTTTACTACTACGATATAGATCTACGGTTAATAAAACTGGAACAGCGAATAATTCTGTAACCTTACATTTATCGCTTTCGGACATATCCATGCTCCTGCTACTATCCAACTCGTCATCCTTCATATCAATCACGAGATCCTCGTCGTCTCTACTATCACCGTCGTCAAGTTCATCTATGTTTCTATCGGGGTTCTGAAGAATGTCGTTCTGCAAATTGGTTATCGTGGTTGCAAGATTCACAGTTTTCGTATCGGTGTTGGTCGTCTTTAGTAGGTTGACAACGTCCGAATTCGTGACGTGCACTGTTGGATTTTTGCTGACAGAACTAGACTTTTGAGATCCTGCTTTTATCATATCTGTCTGTTTCTTTAGTAAAGTTATTACCTGTAAATTAAATAGCATCTTCTTTGTAATGTTTAATTTTCTTAATTAATTTAACGTTTATCTTTCAAATTTGCTTCGGGAAAATTTACATATCTATCAGAGCACAAAATACTTTTCTCGGTCTAATGGAGTTCAATAAACATACCCAATCTTCAATTGCATTGTCCGGCGAAAGCGGCTCGTGATCTGGACGTTCTCCATTATGATGTTTCGTAAAATGTTGCATCAATGCATTGCGATTTACTGACAAATATCCGCAAGCCTTACAATGCCACCTAAAGGCAGATAATTTTCTCTTAGTGGGACATTCGAAAAAGCAGCAAAAATCACAAATTTTAATCCTAAGTTTCAATCGCTTACCTCGCATATTTTAGTTCCCTGTAAAGATGATCTCTCATATCGTGCTTATACTTCGTTTTGAACTGATTGCAGAGCGTACAAATGTACATATTGCCATCCGGTTTGCCATAAGGTCCAAATCTACCCACGTCCGAGTCGCTAAGTTCGGTCGCGTTCCCTCCCGTGTCTTCGATGGCTGTTTTTTCAGTGGCGCCGCGTGAATCGGATTTAGTTTGTGGCTTTATGCTTTGGTTGTCGCTTTCCGTCTCCTCGGACAGCTTCTCACACGAGAGAGACCTCTTAGACTTCTCCTTGCATTGCTTGTTCTCATCAAAGGACGCTGACTTCGCCACCTTTATTTTACCCAATTTCGTCGATAGTTCTGTCTCGTTCTTACGCTTGCCCAAAGTCACGCCCTTCGAGTTCGTGGATGTTATTTCGCTCGGTGTTTCGTTTTCTTCTTCCAGAAGAATTCCACGGATATGCCGTATTCGTGGCATGTCTCTCCTCCAGAGCGGCGTCGTGTCAAAAGGTTCGTCCTGTCCGCTTTGCTCTACGACTTCCGTATTGCGTTTGTTGACTCCTCTTATCCTCTGATACACTAAGACAAAATCGACATTGGGATCGTAAGCGTGCTTGCTGCTTATGTGTTGCTCAAAGATGATCTTTCCGCTGGTCTTGAAAGAACACAAAGCACACTTATATTGACACTTCTCGTCGTGAACCGTAGCGGCGTGAGTGCTCATCTCGGCCTTGTAGGCGCTTTTGAAGTCGCAGAGATTGCATTTCCAATGATTACCATCCGGATCCGGTACCTCGTCCTCATTTTCCTCCTGGTTCGGCTGCGATATGTTTTCTGTGTTATCGAGTTCTCTTATCACCTTGACAAATGGTCTCTTTTCTGGGTGTTTGTCGGTAAGATGACGTTCCACGACATACCTGGATGACATTTTAAAACTATCAGAAAGCATAGAAAGTGCACTGAAGTCGATAAGAAAAGTCATAAAACATATGACAAGTAATGTGGTCACCTTGATTTCTACATACTGGTCTTTTTGTACAGGAACAATTGTAACATCTTATCGCGTTTCGGAACTTGGTTTCATCAATATATCAATAATCATTACTAAATATAGACTAGTCATACTTGTCAAATGTTTTAAAATAATAATATCGCATTTGTGCTTTAACTAAAAATTGTGTCAAAGGATGTGCATAATATGATCATATGAGTACTCATTGAGTACGTCATAAGTATATGCAAACCTTTGGTAATGGTGATGATTACAATGTGAACATTTATAAAGTCTGGCGTCGTGCATTTTCAAATGTACGCCCATTTTATCAATCGCTATATTTTGGCTTTCTTGACCAGGTGACGGTGGGGGACAATGTGGGCAACGAAAATACGGCTCTTCGGAATGCAAAGCTTTCAAGTGATATCTCAACATAGCTTCATCCACTGTCAGGTAATTACATTCAGCAACGCCACATACATATCTGTCAAGGCAGAAATAAGATGACAACTTTGTAATTGCGCTTGCAGTCCACATTCGTACCTTTTATGTTCCGGTACAAATTTCGGTATAGCGATATCCTCTTCGACCTCTTTGATAGCTTCTTTCGGTTTCGCGCCCATTCGACCATTCTGATGCGAGCTACTCGCCAAATTCACCATTTTGTCAAACATCCTCTCCTTTTTGTCTAAACAAGGAACGGGATTCACCGGTCCGGTCTCAGGCACAGTTTGGTCCTTTGCATGAAGTTGCAGATGCCGGATTATGTTTGTCCTGACCTTCGTAGTATATGGACACACGGCGCACTGAACTTCCCGAAGATAAATCGCCTGACGCGGTAATAGATCAATCTCATTGGGATTGAATGATAATTTTTCGTTATCCACCGCAACCGCTGCTGCTGCTGTTTTCTCGATCTCGGGCTCCATGGGTTTCGGGCCTCTACGCTTCTTTGTCTTTCGTTCGCCACTTCCAAAACGCTGTGTAAATTACACACATAAGAGAATTACACAAACTCTTCAAAGAAAAGAATAATAGCTGATAATAAAAGTGTAGTTATATTAGATAAATTTTTAATTATTTAAATACATTAAATAATTATTAAATACGTTATTAAATTATTTAATTCTTTTTAATAACTAATAATAATAACTAATAACTATAATAAAAAAAGAGAAGAGACTCTTAGGTATATTTAATGAAAAAAATCAAAGAGAGAAAGTCCTATGTAATACAGTAAGCTTTTAATGTGAATAAAAGTTAAGAAATCAAAGTTCACACAAGCCTTGCTTTCTTTGTTAAAAAACTTAGTTAATTTGCTTAGTTAAATACTTTGTTAAATACTAAAAATTATTTTGTTAAATACTTTGTTAAATACTAAAAATTAGTTACAAAAAAGGGACTCACAATTGCCTGTACAATAAAAAGACCATCAACCGATGGATTCGTCGGGTCCGCCGGTACCAATTTCGCGTTTGGAAATTTGTGTTTTGTCTTCATGTGAGCTGTTGCCTGATACGAGACCGGATACCTAACTTTACACAAGGAACATCCAAAACGCTTCAAACCGTGTATCTTCAAGTGTTCCAGAAGAAAGCCAATTTTGATGAAACGTTTTGCGCAATGTGCGCAATGCAAATTCTTCGAAATGAAAGCACACTCTTTGATGTGCTTCTTCAATAACAGCGCAGTCGTTGTCGCAAAATTGCATTCCAAGTAACCACATTTGTATAGGTCGAGTCCTGTGAAGCCAGTGTCTTTGATGTCCTCCAAAGTCAAAAGCCGCGCAGCTATGTTGTCGAAATTTGCAGTCGTGTTGGATATATCTTTATCTCCGGTAGTATCTTCAGATTGCTCCTCCTTTTCGGTCGTCTGTTCGGAAAACTGCAGCTGCTCCATTGTTTGATCCGCAACGTTCTCGACGCTCTTCTTCTCGACGTTCTTCTTCTCGACATTCTTTTTCTCGGCCACTTTCGAGTTCTCGATATTCTCTAAGATTTCGATGTCACTGTCTTCAGTTTTATCACTAGTTATCGCCGTATCATTTTTGCAGAATGACGCATTGCTGGAGTTGGATGTAAGATTCTTCAGGAAATTGGGACTGTCAAGGAGATTCGTGTTGATAAACTCGTCGGTGCAAGTAAGGTCATCGGAAAAGTCCAATGGATCTGTCGCATTAGAATCGTCCAGCAGTGCCGACTCGTTGAGAATCTGCTTCCTCACATGATTGGTCGGCTTATTCTTCTGGGATTGTATCAGCAACGACCTATTCTCGTCGGACTTGCTTGATGGAAGTTCGTCTTGCTTTGACGGCGAATTCTGTTTTGTCGATGATGTAGTACTGTTATGCGTGTCTTTGTTAGTGTCATCAACGAGAGACGCGTCTTTAGACTGTTCTGTTACAATATTGGAAGTACTAATAGCGGCTTCTGCGTTGTCTAGTTCCATTGTTTCGAGGGTATTATGAGTCGTATTGTTCATTGGACCGGTTCCTTCTTGACTCAATGTAGTTTGAGCTACAGTCGGGTCTTTATACCTAAGAATCTTTATCGTGCCTCCAGCAATTTGAACTTTTAATGCGTCTCCCGCGGGTGCATCCTCTTTGGAACTGGCTGCGCCATCGTTTGGTTTCTGAGTATTTTCTTTAAGAGTTCCATTGTCGTTGTAAGTTCGTATAAGAAGTTGATTTATAACATCTTCTTTTATCACCTGAAAATTAATTGCAGTTGAATGAAACAATAGTGTGATAGATAATTTGTTTTCACAATAATCAAGTGAATTTTAATAATCATACCACTGAAGAAAGCGCGCGCTCGAGTATTTGGGGCAGTTTATTGCAATGACAAACGCTCAAATGTTCGAGCATTTCACTTGTATTGTCACTACCGTACACACAATATAGACACTGGTATTTGTCAATTCCATGCGATTTATAGTGCTGTGAGTATTAAAACAAATTACTTTACAAACAAAATACAATTACTTTTGCTAAGTGAAAATCAATAAGTGTACAGTACAAGGTACTTACAGATATAATCAGTGCTACCGTAGTGAATGAGCTTTTACATAAATGACATTTGAAATAGGGGAAGAGCTTAGAACCCGAATGTGCTGATTTTAAGTGCATAGTAAATGATTCGGGTAAGTAATAGGTCTTGCCGCAATCTAAAAATAATATCATCGGCCAATAATTATACAGCAGATAAATACACATTGTCGCGAAAAAAAGCTAAAATAATGTTCAAATGAGACATTATACTTTCAGTAATAGTGAAATTGTTTATTAGTTTTTTTTTATATCGGCTAATGCAGATAGCGAGGAAAGAAAACAAAGTATATAAACTATATTTTAATATAATTTTCAAAGATTATATATAGATTCTTTTATATATGATAAAGTACACACACACACACACACACACACACACACACACACGCACGCACGCACGCACGCACGCACGCACACGCACACTTTTTTGTTCAATCTTCTTCCTTTTTTTTAAATATATTTCTGTTTTATTTTTATAACACGATTGGTTATGTTAATTTTCTGTTTTTGAAACTTTTGTATCCACGCGTCTTTGTACATTTATATGTCAAAAATAGTAAGCGCATTATACGATAAAAACAATGAGACATACCATGAGACATACACACGAATGGCAGCACATATTTGGAACGGTTTATCACTTCTTGTTTTGAAATATCCTTACCCATTTTACCCAATAACATATAGTATTTAGTATTAGGATGATAAGTTGTCTGGGGAAAATATATACATATAATTCATTAATAATATATATATATATATATATATATATATATATAAATAATTTATTAACAATATAATATTAGACTATAGTATGTGCAATATTATAGACTGTATTAATATCATAGTAGGATGTTGGATTCTACTATACTACACTAAAATGTTGTATGATGATCTTTGAACACTCTATAGTTGAACACTCTATAATAAAAATCTACAATTGAAATTCTTTTTCTTATTATTTTGTTTTTCTTATTCTTCTCTATTATTAAATCAAATAATCGATGAATATAAATCAAGCTCGATCAATCATAAGGCTAATCAAGTATATAGATAAAATTAATGCCCAGTACCTGATGTTGTAGTACGTAACACGCCGCAGCAGCACGATAGAAGCAGTAACCGCACTGATATCGGCAACAGCTGTGTTTTTCCCACATATGGATTCTCACTTCATTCCAATCAAGCATGAGCGTGGAGCAATAAACACACTTCTGATAATCGCACGGCGTCTTGACTTTCTGCTGCTTAGCATCCTCACAGTGCTGGTTATAATGGTGACAAAATAACGTAACGGAATCGGTCGTGAAATTACAATCGCGGCACATACACTTGTAGAAGTGAATCAATTTCGACGCTCGCAACATGGACCAGTATGCATCCGTGGATTTTAGTTTAGCCATGAAAGACGCGATCGACGCGTGATTCTTATCATCAACTGTTGTGGAATTTCGCAGCACTTTGAATATCTTACAATTCGTTGTGCTCGTCGGTGTCGGCGTCGGCGTCGGCGTCGGCGTCGGCGTCGACGTCGGCGAGGTCTTCGCGGAAGGAGCGATTCGGGGGATAGCGACTTTTGCGTTTTCTAACGTAAATATCTTGGCTTTTGGTATGGCTTTTGGTATGGTTTTCGGCTTGGGATGTATGGGTACAAAATTTGTAGCCAGATGAGTAGTAACAGTTTTTGTCGAGATAGGCATCTGATTCAATTTGGTGACTGGAATGAGCGTCATGGTATCCGACGTGGACGGCTGTGCCACCATCGGTATGTTAACGTTACTCGTCAACAGATGCGTCTTAATGTTCATCTTCTTCAATATCAACGGTTGATGCGCTTTCTTGAGTAACGGTATGTTCTTGTTCTTAACAGGAACGACCTCCACTGCTTTTCTGATATCGTTTATCTAAGAATATAATATCGAGATGTTAAAAATTGCAACGATAACAAAATAAATCGGCATAAAAATCGAAAGGTCAATAACGGCTGATGTCAATGTGCGGGCGATTATTAGATTTATTAAGAAAATATACGAATTGTAATCATGTTTCGGCCAATAGACTCTTCAGAACGAAAAAAAAAATATATATATATAAAATCTATTCTGAAATTTCACGGTGAAAAATCTTCCACCCAAGGTGTACTTGTTTGGAATAGTTTCCGAGCAAGTCCAACGTTGTTATTTGGATGCAACTCGAAAGTTCCCAAACGCAACCTAATGACACTCACGTGAGCAATGTTTGAAAATATATCAACAATGCTATTATAGATTTGTTCGGAATTGGATTCCGATCAAAATAATTTCATTATTCCTTACATTTCTATAGTGTTTTGTAAAAAAAAACGAAATTTATTTCGAAGTTAAGTATTTAAGTCTATAATAATATTGCAGAAGGCGAAATTGATAAATCTAACCTATGTGACAATGATAAATTAGACGACGCAACTCTTATGACTGAAAAATCAAATAAACTATGTCGCATCTTTGATAAATTCAGAAAAAATAATAAGATGTGATATCGTTGTTGTGCAAATTAAAATTTTCGTATATTTATTAAAATAATCGCATAAAAAACGGCATGGACCGCGCACGCACGCACAGCCAGATAATTATGTGTGATTATCTTAGGAAATAAGTATCATTATATGAAATTTTATTATTATAAAATGATTAGAGATTTATCTTCGGAAATGAGTATCATTATATGACACTACTGAAGGTATTACTTACTGAAAGTATTATTCACTTCTGTTGGGTAACATCGCACAATTTCAATATTTGACAATATTGGCCTTTGGTTTTTTATATTTATGTAAAGTTATATTAATATTTATTTGGAATAAATTACATATATTTCGAAATAATTTCAAAAATCAAAGTCAAAATACTATGTGATTTTCTTACGATAGGACTTTCAGCTTCATTGCATTCAGAATTTGGCGCGAGGCTCACTACATTCTCGATTTTTAAGAACGAACACTCTTCTTCCGTGTCAGTCTGCGATACATCTACTACGTTGTCTGACGGAGTTTCATCTAGCGATAAAATGTTCTCCATTAGTACAATTGCACATGCATCCCTCGAATATCTTAATCAACGAGATTTTTAAGAATCTTAATTAATATACTCAATAAGCAAATTTATAGCCGAATGCGCGCAGATTGGCTGCAAATTTCATCAGAATTCCATACTAAAACCATAGCTATCAGCTCAGACAGATACCCTATCGCATAACAGGTTTGCTCGGTTTCTGCTGCCAATCTGCTAGGATTGCCTATTAGCAGGCTTTGACACATTTCTGACAACAATTTGGCAACATAATTAGATATAATAAATCCTATGTTGGATTTGCTGCCTTTCACCAAAAATTTGCAGTAGGTTTTGCTCAAAATCTATTTGCACAAGTTTGGCTATTTAGTTAACCTACTTAGAATACAATTATCGTAACATAATATTTTCTTATTCTTGTTTTTTTTATTTCCTATTTCCCTTTTTTTATTGTTACAAGGATTGCCCGTAAGTACAGCAAGGTAAATAAATAAATAATAGATGACGTAAGTTATGTTTCATTTCAAGCACTTACCAACACCGGAAGCTTGTATGTCTTCTTGATTATCCGACAACGACGCCGGGAGAGACAACATGTCACCGCTCAGTCGTCTGAACCTGAGGAAGTTTTTTGGTGCACAATCGTCGATATTCGATATCGGCGGTGTCATTCCACGATCCTTAGCGTCTTCATTCATTTGTGAAGTTTTCGCGCTAGTGATCGAGATAACACTCGGTGCTTTCGGGAAGGCCGTCGAGGTCGGTAAAACGGGCTCACTTTTGACATCTACGTCTTTAGCTGCAGGCACCTCTAATGGCTTGGCGCTCTGGAGTTGCGCAGCTAATCTCTGTATAGTCGTTAACATTGGATCCCGTGATGACGACACGTTGATACTCGAGGTCTCCTTCAAAATCATATTAACATCCGTCGGCTCTGAATCGGACTGTTCACTGCTAGAATCAGACTCATAGACCGGAGAACGCCGTACGGTCTCAGCATCACTGATCTCACCGTCACTCTCTGAATTTTTACTCGGATCCATGATGACGAGCGGGTCGCGGATCTTAACATCCGCCTTGTCCGCATTATTGCTACTCGCCGTGTCCGATTTGTCGTTGTCAACCGATTGTTCCGTCAACAAAAGATCTTCCACTTGAGAATCGGTTGACTGACTCAACGGACTCTCATTGGTGATCTTATCTGTCTCATGTTTCGATGAATCCATAGTCGAGTCGGTTGACAACGGTTTTTCGTTGTTTGCTTGCTGCGAAACGTTCGCCGACTCGATGTGTTCGTTGACGGGACTAGCAACCGTGTCTGTCCGCATCTTGTTCTGTAATTTGTCTATTATAGACAGACTCGACTTTGAAAGATTCTTATTTATTTTGATACCAATATTATCAACGATCTCTTGCATCCTCTTTTTCCGTTCCAACTGTATCTCGACTTCCTTGTTTTCCAGTTCGGGCGGGCAAACAAATGCACTCATGTTGCCAGTGTTCACCGGTCCGTCGGGTTCTCCTTGAACGGACATTCTCGAACTCACATCGGTATCCTGCTTGGTTTCGTCGTTGGCTTGTGATTCTTGCAAATCACAGCTTTTATCACCGTTATCGTCGCTCTTGTCCTGAGGCTCCGTCACGTCGATGATGTCCGTCACTCGCGAGGTCGTGTCTATCTCTGTGTCCATCGGTGTGTCTTTGGACATTGCGTTTTCGATTTCTGACACTTGAGGCTTCACTTCTTCTTTAATCTCCTCGGCGAATGGTTCCTTCGCAGCTTCTTTGCATTCCTGCGGCTCTTGTACGTCCTTCCCGGCCTTACTGGTGGTTAACATCGACATATTGATCTTTAAAATTTTTTTGTCTGTCTTGTCTCGATGCCAAAACTTCGCGTGGGCCTCTACGTTTTCTCGCTTCAGCTGCACGTAGTTGCATTCGCGACATAAGTAACCGTAAACGCCATTCTCCTTCGGTATATCGTCCTCTTTCATGGCCTCGTTGAATGTGTCGTTCATCTTCCGACACATTTTGTAATAATGAGTTTTCATGGAGGCCTTCGCCACTGCCTTGTAAGTACAACTCTTACAGTGGTACCTGTACTCGCCTGTGTGCGTGGTGCAGTGCTCATAGAACGCCTCGATCGCTATATCAGCCGCGCCTTCAGTCTCGAACCAGCAAAATCTACATCGATATTTGCACATCTTATTCGTCGTTGTCGAAGAAGAAGTAGCTTCATCCTTAACACTTTCCTCAGCGTCCAGTATCGCGGCTTCGGCGTCAACCGACCTGAATCGCGCGATGAGGACTTCCTTGTCGGGATGAATAATTTTGTAATGATACACAATGTTTTTACCGGAGAAGAAGCACAGTTGGCACTTATACCTATCTTGACCGGTCCACGCGTATTTTATTAGTCGCTGGTTCATGTTGCGAAAAAGTTCCTCCATTACCTCATCATATACAATCGTCGACGGAGCTATCTTGGTGACCTCTTCTGTCGTTTGATCACCGGTACTTGGCTCGGTGATCACGCATTCCGTATTCTTTGTTTCTGTTGGCTGCGTATCTGCTTCTTCTGTTCCTGCTTCTTGTGTTCTTGCTTCTTCTGTTACTGCTTCTTCTGTCCCTGCTTCTTCTGTCCCTGCTTCTTCTGTCCCTGTTTCTTCTGTCCCTGCTTCTTCTGTTCCTGCTTCTTTCATTTTTGCTTCTTTCGTTTTTGCTTCCTTCGTGTCTAATTTCATTCTTGTTCCTATTGACAATTTCTTTTGCATAAGCAAATGAATCGACTCGCACGAGACTGATTCTTCGGTTGCATTCGAACGTTTCGATATGGAGGTGAGATTATTCGATTCCATGTGATGATCTGTAGTGACGTCGGAATTGTCCGTATTCGCGGATTGTTGGACAACGTTGTCGCATTTCAACGAGGAGTCCACGCTCACATCGTCCGCCAGTTGTTTACCCGCAGTTTCTTTGGAAATAGTTTCCGCCATTGTAACGTTGTTATCACCAGATACCGCTGTGCTGTCTTCCACCTTGTCCATCGAGATATCAATTTCGTTGCTCATATCTTCGCATTCGATTTGACCAGCTTTGGAAGAAGTTGCCGATATGTTTTTCTTCTTCTTCTTCTTCTTCAATATTCCCAATCGCCAGCTTGATTTTTTCTTTTTCTTCTTCACCGAGGATTTCTTCGCGTTTATTTCAACGAGTGGTGGAGAATTAGGGTTTTCCTCAACGTCCGCTTCATTGTCTTTGTCAGTCATGCTCTTTTCTGTCGCGGTCGGCACCAGCCCCACTAGGATGTTGCTCAATAACTCCTCTTTGACCCCTGCTCTCGTTATACTTTTCTTGCTTGCGGTCGTGCTGCTCGACATAGAGATATCTGATATTATGCTCTCGTCCGTGAAAGACATCCCATCATCGCTCTTGCAGTCGGTGAGTAAAGAGACGCTTTTCTTCTTCGTCTTCTTCAGCTTCGAACTACGCGTGTTTCTCACAGGTTTCTGTAGAGGCTTCGAGTTCACGATCGTTTCCACGGAGTCCTGATCGGACTGTTTGTCCGGCCGAAGGGAGATATCTACCGCCGCTGTCAATTCGGATACGTCTATGCTGAAACTCTCGTCGGACGAACTGTCAAACATCACCTTAGACAAGTCAAACTTCGTAATATCAGTCTTCTCCACGAGCACCCGCGGCTCCTTATGTAGTATGCGTTTGCTTTTGCGCAACATATCGCTGGACTGCTCGACCTCTTCCTGTTTCAATGTGTTACTACTATTATTACCTAGCTTCCAGTCTGCCCGCAACGCCAGCGGTTGGTCCTCTTCGCTGTCGGACCTCGGTTCTTTAGAACGTAGCTTACGCGTCGATTGTTGGGCAACGTCCTTTTTGCTTTTGCTCTTGGACTTGGACTCCCCGCTATTGCGGGATTTAGCAAGAGTCTTCTTGGACTTGACATTACTCGCTGTTGACTCGTCTGCTTCGACACTTGACTCTCTAACTGAGGCGTTAAACGTCTCGTCCTTCTTAGAGCTTGTTGCCGTCGATCCGGATGAGAACTGATTCTCCTTCGATAATCTGCACATTCGGAAACCCGTTGCCGTCACTACTTCATCGCTGATAAACATCTCCCGGATGTCTTCTTGCAACATCTCTAAGGAATTTCTCCTCTTTGTTTTTGTCTTTGGTTTGTCGCTCGAAACATCGACATCTTTCTCCACGACAAATTCCGTCTTGTCTGTTTCGCCCTTATCTAATGACTCTTCTATGTCTTGTACTTTTTCCGAAGGAGCTGAATTAACTGGCTGATCTTTCGCTTCGTCCTTCTTTCCGTCTTTTGATTGACTATCTGGTTGCTTGTCATTTTCTGAATAAATATCAATGCTTTTATTATTATCTCCTAATCGATTACTTTCCTTTCCTAGACTGTCTTCTAATTGTAGATCATTATTATCATTGTTATAATATTTCGTCGTAATGTTGTCTTGTTTATTACTATTTTCTAATTGCGAATCGTTTGTCTCTGACTCTCTGATTTTATTATAGTCGTTCATTTGAACAGTACTCTTTTCCCTGAGATCTTCCAATAAACTGTCATTCTTTCTATCAGTACTTCCAGTTGACTCTTCATTCAAACGATCAGATGCCGTTAAGTCGACTTTATCTTCTGTGAAATCCTTGGTAGAATCTGGAGTGTCCATAGATGTCATGGAAACCGACTCGATTCTATCGTTATTCGCCTTAACGCTAGTATTTAGGATGTTTAGTCGCTCCGCGAGACTTTCGTCGTCCGAGCTGTCTGACATGATCACTCGCCTCTTCTTCCTAGTCAATGACTTCTTCGGCCCGATAGTCTCATCCTTGTCAGAGTTGCTACTTTCCGACTCAGACTCAATGATCTTCTGAATCTTCTTCAGCTTCTTTGCCTGCAGCGCTTCCCCGAGCTTCTGTAATAACTTTGCGTGTTCGACCAATTTTTTACCCTCACCACTTTCGAAAGACTTCCTGATGAGCGCCTCAATCAACTCCTGCGTCACTCCTTCGTCCTTGGACTTTGTACCGTCGGCTTCCAACTCATCCTTTCGATTCTTCTTCATAAATTCGATAGACTTGATATCAAGCGTCGTAGAAGACTTCCTCTTGTTCGTTTCCTCGACAAGAGACGAAATGATTTCGTCTTCTCTCATGATGTCAACGTGTTTAGAAAAGAGCGAACTGTCCGAACTGTCCGTTACGCCGCTAGTGCTGCTAACTTCAGCCATTGCGTCATCCTTGTCCAAATTTTCAGACAGCGATGTCGAATTAACAGCGGTACTGCTGCTTTTCTTGCCATCGCTTTTGGAGCGTGACGACTTTGAAGCAACGGCACCAGCTTTCTTCGTTTCATCGACGTGACTCGTCGTTGACGAGGGCTGCGACGATTCTGGCCGCTTAATCTTAGGAATCTTGAACTTCTGCAGGCCGCCGCTATGACTGGACTTGGTATCAATTGCCCCATACAAGCTTTCCAATGGCGATTGCATCCTATCTGCAATTGCCTTCGGCAATTTGTCCGTTTTCTCCTTGCAATTGCTCTCCGAATCGACGCGCTTCTCCGGCAACTTCTGCGGCTTCAACTTCTCCTTGTTAATCGTTTTCTTGGGGGTCCCCGAAAGCGCTATTGGAGACGTCACTGAAGGTTGCAAGCGTTTCCTCGGATCCCTCTCATTGTGAACGGCGTCTTTGACTTTCGTTGGCGGGAAATGCTTATCTTTGGCAAGACGGGGATCCCTGGCAGAAGTATTGCTATTGCTGCTGGTTTCTTTGGCTTGACTCGAGGTCGTCACGTTGTGCTCCATGCGAACACGTGGGTCCCTTTCGAACGCATTCCTGTTATCGCGGTTGAAACGACTGGAGTTCTCGCGATCGGAGTGGCTGTCTCGTGGCCAATCAGGCCGACGTACGTCGCGGTTGAAGTTAGGTCTTAGTTCTGCTCTATTCCTCTCGTTGTAGTAACTCTCCCTCCCACGACCTCTGCTGCCTCTGTTCCTGTCTCGCGTCCATGGGCAAGGTGTGTCGCATCGTGAGTATGGAGATCCCGTGGAAGTTTCCATGATACCAATTCCGCACGGAATCATGTTGTCGCTGTTATAAGAAGTCTCACCTATACCCCGACCAGCGGAACTGTCCCATGTTGACCTCGCGTGAGAGTACTCCGCAGGTCTATCGAAGTTTAGATCATAAGAGCCTTGACCCATTTGAAAACCTCTATACTGTGGCGGAAAGACATTGGTGGACATCAGAGAAGGAATTTCATCACGAATATTCTCCGGCCTCGTCGCGTGGCTCAGGTCCTGCGGTCGTCCAGGAGGATTCAGCGGTCTGGGTCCAGCCGCGGTATGATCCACGGGACTTCCACCCATAAACATGCCCATCGGATGTTGATAAGGTGGCATCGGCGGATTCGCCATTCCGCTGTAAGTGGAAGGTGCCCACTGCGCTTTACCAAATGGGAGGTCGCCGGTGGTCACTGAAGGTACAGGCCAATGTAACTGATTCATGCCTAGTCTGCTTTCCTGGTTCATGTGCATGTTATAATAATCGGTACCCTCTATCACAAATTCATTGTCGGACCTAGACGGAGCTATGTCCTTCCAGCCTTCCTTTAGCCCGCTCGGACGTCTCTGATATAACGGAACACCGATTCTTTCATCCACTTTGCTGGTTACATTATGAAGAATCGGAATCAAAGACGCTTCTTGATCCGGCACTCTGCATATGTTTTCGGGTGTAGTCGGCTTCTCTTTCGTGTTCTCGTGATTGTGAGTGTCGCGTTGCCGTGGATGCCTCTCGTAGTTGTCCGCATAACGCGGTTCAAATTTAGAACTCGTGGAAGGCGACTGAGGCAGACGATGATCGGGCGGTCCTTTGATCTCGCTCGACTTATTATCGATCTTCGCAATCATAGCCGAAGTAGCGTTGATCACGTTCGACGTGCATTTTCTGCTAAGCTTAATGATGTGCTTGTCCACCTCTTGCCATTGTTTCTCGCTCTCCCTCTCGGCAGCTAAATACGACAGCGAGAGCTCCTTCGAGACCTTATTGTCTTTTGTGAGATTTGTCTCCTGCCTAGAGTCTTTCTTATGTTTTGTGGAATCTTCACTTTTCTTTTCGCCCTTCTTCTCGTCACTGTTGCCCAAGAGCTCCTCCAAGTCTTCTATAGATAGCGGAGGTTCAGTGGAGATTGGTGGCGGCGAGACCAAAAGCGGCATCGGTGTTTTCGTCGGTGTTCTCGGGCTGCCGTGACTGTCCTTCGATCTGGGCGATAAAACTTTAGACCGCGAGAACATTATTTCGGGATCGGGAGACTTGAGCTGCACTTCCGGGACATTCACTGGTGACTCTGGTCTGACATTCGTTAAGGTTATATCCATATTCAGAATCTTAGTCTTCTCGAGCACCGACGACAATCGCCTGGAGCCACCTAGCGAAGGTACCGGAACGGTCGGTATGTCTGAACGTGAACCCATCGAGTAGCCTCTGCTGTCGTTGTTGACCTTCTGCGGCAGATTATTGCTGACCAACTTGGCTGCGCTAGCTACATCGTGACCGGAAGCTGTTAGTGGTTGCCAATCGTTGCCTTTGGTTTTGGTGTTATGTTTCTGCGACTCCTCCAGCATGTCCCATTCGGTGAACACAACGTCGTCCGAATGATTGGAGTCGGACGACGAGATGTTAATAATTCCCGTGCGCTCTGTGATCGTAATTATCGGAATCTTCGAGTTGCCTTGCTCCATGTTGCTTTTATCCTTGGTGAAGTCCGTACTGCGCTCCGTGGGGATTATTATGGGCAGAATTTGGCATCCAAAGTCCGGACTGACGGAGGGATCCGGACTCGCTGGCGTCTCCTCAAACTTATCCTTCTCCGCCGACTTCGGCGACTCCTCCGTTTTTTTACTCGGATCCGACTTGCCGTCTTCCGACGAACTGAAAGTCACGAGAATTTACTACTCGTCTGCTTGATTCCGGATCTATCGTCTGTCGTGTGAAGCGTTACTCACAAATTCTCGTAAATACAAGGACAACACTAAACAAATATGTAGCAACTTTCATTTCAACATACACTTCGTCATTTACGTTGCATGAACTATCTATGATACACATTGCATTTTTATATTTGTTAACCCTTTCGCTACAGCACGCTTGAAAGTGATACGATATGCAATACATATACAGTGTATGGAACACAATAATTATATGTTAGTATACAGAACTAACACTACGCGCAACGCAAATTATTTGCAATGCAAATAATTGTAATTCTCACACGAATTTATATATAACTTTCGTACATGTCTCTTTTTATGAATAACGAATATATACGGCTGTCTAATGCAAAGTGTTCTGCACATCTCGTATCCATAAAATTTTGAGTTATTATTATTATATGCCAAAATATGTCTATCTAAATATAAACACCCCTCTTTAAAAGGCGGATATATAGAGCGTTCTTCGTAATGAAAGGATCAAGTGACGTGCGTCTAGTGATATTCTCATACAACTCGTGATATTTATGATTATTTTACATTCTGATATCAAAAGATTGAACAATCTGAACAAAAAATGTAGCGTAGGCCATCAGTGACGCATGATATATATACATACACATATATTACTTTCTATATTATATAAACGTTTTATAGTAAAAATATATAAGTAGGAGAAGCGCGGCTTTACACCTCACAAAATGGCCAAACATTTTCACACAATCATGCTTATAATAATCTGCACTTCCTTTCAATATATATTATAACACATATATATATATATATATATATATATATATATGTATATATATATAGTACATAGTATATAGTATAACATAATATATACTTACGTGGAAGGTTGCAAAATGCTTCCATCATTTCGTTTAGTTGGTAATTGCAAACCAGGTGCATTTCCCTGAAACTCATATCGGATTAGAATAATTAAAATACAAAAACCATACATGCACTACGGAAGCCTGAAAACACTCGAAAGTATAAGAGAATAGCAAAAAGGACAACATAACGGATGTAAAGAACCAAGACTCGGTCAAATTCTCCAAAAAGAACAGGAAAAAAGGATATTCGTTCAAAATCACTACTGTGTTCTTTGCTTTTTATTGTGTGTAACATTTACGTGCGATGCCTTAAGACAGAAAGAACAAAATGCAACTTTTCAACTTTTTATAGATTGTATCACACCCTGATAACGTTATACATAATATTCATACATTTGATTGCAATCCAAGTACACATGTAACATAAGATGCCCAGATAGACGTATTTCGATATATTATCTGCTTAGTGACTAGCATAAATATGCGAAATACTCATATAACTGGTTTATTATAGGTATATAAAAGAAGTCACACCCCTGATACCATAAAAATTATTGCTTATTTTGCCGGGAAGGGAGCATAATTAATTCGGAATTGTTGCAGTAATAAGAAATTAATGTTTTGGTGAAAATTATAATATAACATATGGAGTATTTCTTCAAACAGGCGTATTTTAAACACGCTATGTTGTTACAATAATGCCCCAAAGTATACATTAAAAGTTTGCATTTCCGTCTGTCTGGACAATATCAAACTATACAGATTGCACAACGTGCAGGTAGATTTTAAGTTGTGTGTGACAGTGCAATATGAATTAATGCACACCCATTGAAAAATGTGAGCACGATAAGAATGTTACGTGAACGTTTTCGCGCATTTTTTTTCTGGAAATACGCATCGCGCCTGTATCTACCAAACTACAAACTATTTATTAGAAAGAAGAACGATCTAGATTGAATTTGTTAACGTCGTTTCATACCTTGCTCACATATCTCGTCAATAGACAGAGAGAAAACGTGAAGATATATACAGAAATATACATATATAGCGAGACAAGCGGTATATCTATACATGTGCATCAGCGTACTTACCTTTTCTACTCTATTGTGCAGTTTCTGTAGAACATCTTCACATCGCTGCAGCGTTTCAATTCGTAGCCTGCTTTGACAAGAATATTTTACATAAATATGAAAGAAGATCTTGAATCGTAGATTGTATATAATATTCTTTGCTATACTCTACTTTAGGACAACGTTAACTATAGAGCAGCTATCAACTGTTTACAATTGCATTGCGCTGTTGAATTTTGAAATGGTAATTGTGAATCATTTTTAATATATAAATCATATAATTAACAAGTTCTATACCGTGCAATCCGTGCATGTTCTATACCGACACAAGAGCAGTATATTTGCAACGTTTGGCCATAATTTAAATGTAACGCATGTATATGTGCGTGATTGTATGTAAGTTTTTGCTTAACATACTTTCGCTTGCTATTCGATAATATCCCATGTAGACTCTGCATTTTCTGTAACTGAATCTCCCGAGATTTGTCCTTAACGTTTTGTAGCCTCTCGATCATCGCTTCCAAGAATGGAATGTACTTTTGCATTTCTGCAAATTTCTTGTCGTATTCATCCATCTCGTTCGTTGTATTCGGTCAACCTGCGTTCAGATAAAAAAACGTTTTTTTTCTCTTTTCCCTTATCAAATTAATCATCACTGCGCGTTTATTTAACTTATAAGTAGTCATTTGTTGTGCTTATAAAATAAAAAAAACAATTTGGTCTCAAGAATTACTTCTCGGAAATTGGTGCTTTGTGTACGCATAGTGAGATAGAGGAGACAGAGAGAGATCAATAACAACGATGAGAATGAGTATTCCATTGCCGTCATTATTATCAATATTTCACGTAGCGCATTGATCCTCGTCGAGACACTTACGTCCACACAATTATCGTTGTACATGGTAGGACGTGACACCTCAATTACTACGACTCGACTGAAACTCGGCATAGTTAAATGCAATTTTTGTTCTTAATTGTCAATTTGTATAACTTTTGATTAGACCACGGGGAGATAGATGCATTCTTCGCTGTCAACAGAGCCTTGAAATCTCTTCACGGACAATCCAATGATGATTTACTCGCGCATCTCAAATACGCTTCAGCCTTAAGAGAAGCAGAGAGGCAATTCGATAAACGCCATCCCTCGCAGATGTTGTTACTCTTGTCGTTCGTCGTGCTAGTGCTTCTATGAACCACTGGATCTACGTTCGGTTGTGCATAAACAGCATACGCATGTAAACAACAAAATTCTTACATACCAATAAACGCAATTGTATCGTCGATCAGATTCTATTTGACGTAAAATATTGCATATAGTAAGATATCCTCTTCGCTGAATCTTCACGCATCGATAAGTTTTATGGCAGGATACATAGCGGAGAAAAAATGTTGTAAATGTTAGTTATAAAAATGTCGTGTTTTTGTCGTACACTATTATTACACAATTATTTTCGTTTAACGAATATATGTGTCACATAGCGATATCAAGCTATTCAATTTATGCAGTTTGCATAAGTCTTCTTTTTTTCTCTCTTCCTCCTATTCCTCCTCCTTCTCTTCCTTTCCGGCCGATATTGAGCTGCGTTTTTGTGATATACAATATATTACACAATAATTGCATGAACGTCGTTTCTTCCTCTAAATGTAGATCGCGGATACTATGAATATCCAAGTCACTTTAAATAAATTATGCTTCTTTTATATATGTATACACAAAAAGCCGAAAGCTGGAGAAAGTGTACATCGGCGAGCGTCCAAGCTTCGTCAAAGGGACTGAATGAATACATGTCGTACTTCGACCAACACGTACCCTCGTTCTGACGATCGATTATTTTCCGACGATACTCTCTGCACGCTTTGTCACCACCACCTGTGCTTGTAATGTGTACGGGGTGAGCTATAAGTCACACGTTGCATTGGATTTAATGAGTGATCTTCCTCTCGTCCTGTTCTATCAAACAATTCGGCTAAATTCAAAGTCGCGAAGAACATTCGCTCCTACACGAAAACGAAATTTTAGCTCGTGAACAGAGATCACATGAAAAACTCGTTAACGAGAAATATCTCTGTTACTGTTATTTAACAGAAAACATTCGTCTCAATATCCAGTTGCATTAAAACTCGGTTGAGATAACTGAAAGCAATTGAATAAAAACTGAGCAACTGAGTAAAAACATCCTGCGGGAATCTTTCTGTTTCTACAACCGAATTTTTCTATCTAATTCCCGCATCTGATCTGAGCAACAGAAAATTCAGTTATACGGAGTTGTTTTCTCCGTGTACAGAGTATCAATTTGTGCAAAAGCAGCTTTATTCGTCGTAATTTTTAATTTTGTTTTCAATTCAAATTGTATTTTACACTTGGTGCGATTGTCTTGTAATATATCGCTTTGCAGTCAATTTCGCACTAAATACTCGTCGCTTTCATGACTTTGTATTTAGAATTATCACATTATTTTCCATAAAAGAAAATATATACTATAATCATGTATTTACAAAATTTTGGAATTTTTACAAATTCGCTATTTATAGGACACCATGTATATAGTACACGCAGTCGCATTAGGCGTACGTACTAACGCAAGTAATGCGATATCCCTAGTGTATATGTGTTTCACGATAATAGTAAACTTTTTCACCATAACTATAGCTAATCATGGTAGTACTGCAGGGGTAAAAAGAGATGGATATTGATCCAATCAACCCCTTCGCACCCGGTGGTGGAGTGCTTGTGACACGAAAAGAACAATTTTCTTTCAATAAAAATTATTCCGTATAATAATTTGGTTTAAAAACTTTAAAGTCTTAGAGCCGGCTTTTTTCAATAATAATTTAAACTTAGATTTTTACTTAAACTCTGTTTAAACAAAACAAACGCATTGTTTGAATGGAGTTTAAACTTGAATCCAAGTTTAAACTGTTATTGAAAAACCGTGCCTTAAAGTTTTAGTTGTGTGATAATACAAGTTAATTAACTGTATTTTTTGTATTTTTTGCGAGAATAACACGTTACAACATATATCCTTGCTCCAGTAATGATAAAATTATCAAAAAATATTTATTGTTCAAACAAGCGACATTTATATACATTTCATTAAAGCAATATAAAAAGTGACGCCAAGTTAACCTACAATGCCCAGAAGATATCGAAGAAAGTATATATATATACATATATACATATATATAATATATATATATATATACTTATATATATAAGTATATATATACTTATATATATAAGTATATATATACTTACTATATATAAGTACACACACACACACGCGCGCGCGTGCACGCACGCACGCGCACACACGCACACACACACATTTTCTTCGATATCTCCCGGGCATTGTAGGTTAACTTTTGCGTCACACTTTTTGTATTAATTTTTGTTTTAATGAAATGTATATAAATGTCGCTTGATTGGACAGTAAATATTTTATGATAATAAAAGTGTATATATATATATATATATATATATATATATATATATATAAATTAATATAATATTAATGATATTGTAAAATAAATAATAAATTAATTTTTTTATATTCATAAATTCTTCCATTTCTTTATTTCAATATAGAACAAAACGTGAGATTTGTTTAAAAAAACCCATCATATAATGGTTTCAGTAAAAAGTAATACACAATTCGCATACTCTTGCGTTTACTGTTCTACTTGTGGCGATAAGATACAATCTTGCGTGAGAGAGCGAGTGGGTCGCACAATATATTCCGGAAACGCTATTCAACTTGTGTGAATCCGCACGCAATATACATAGTGAGCATATATATATTTTATATTTCGTATATATCTTATATTTGAATATTGCAAGGATCCAATATCTTGGGAAATTCTGTGTATATTCACATTCTTTATGAAGAAATTTCATTCTTCTGCCCCTCCCCTCTTTCTCTCTCTTTTCCACACCTTGAGTAAACTTTAATATAATTTGAATACCATTATTATCAATACGTTTAACACGAAAAAGCAGCACGATAAGATGACGTCTATTGAAACGCCATCGTATTTCAAAATTTTGTGTAAGCACTTTGTGTACACATCTATCGTTTTGTCTGTAAAACTGCACTTTAGCACAATTTTATGTGAACTCCGATGAAGACACTCGCGTAAAATCTGCTTGAAAACGAAACTCATATTAGATAAATAAAGGACAAAATGGAAGAGAAGCCATGAAAAACAAATTCAGCTAAAATTGTCCTTGAAATTATCAAAAGAACGTGGCAGCTTCTGATTGGACATAAAATCAATGTAAGGCATAAGTTCAGAGCAAATGAGTCATCGAAGTGCACAATGAGGTAGTTGAAATTGTGGACTTTGATAACCTCAAGAGACACTTTCGACGAGTGTCTCTCGGGGACGTGTAGAGTATCAGTCTGTATGAGCGATTCAACTGCTCAGATTCGTCGTCGCGACATAATTTGTACGGAACACGAGTAAGTTTTCGCATACATACCGTCAGATATGTTTAGACCTTAATAATCGAAACCACCACAATACGGTCTATTACGTTGTTACACCGTGTGTGAGAGATGTTCTTCTATTATATCGCGTTTCTCTTTCACACACACTCTCTTTCTCTCTCTCGCTCTATTCACTCTGCTTCTTTCTTCCTTTCTATTTTCTGTCTCTCTTTTCCTCCGTCACGTTTTACTGCGCATCTACCGTGTGTAGTTTCACGATTTCGTGAGGTGGAAGAGAGACAGCAAACGGAGTCGCCAGTGGAAGTTCAACGTTTTCGATAGATGGCGCGAGTATGTGAACGTGACAAATATGGCGGCGTATATAGGTAGGTTTCAGCAGTTAGGGAGCTGCATAGCTCGACATCAAGGAATTTCGATTTTTCGTGATGACGTGAGAACTAAGCTCTGCTCTGTGAGTGATCTACTTCTGAGAGATTCTAAAACTTCTAACTCCTCGATATTCTGAGTTTGTCTTCTTAATGCGTTTATTCCTTCCGTGACACAGTATCACGTTCTGCACTCAAGGTCGAGACCTTAGTTTCTGGCATATCCGACTTGCTTTTCACACACACAAATGCAACAAAATAACCGATAATAATTTTATACCGTCGAGGGTAAGAGCCGCTCATGTGACCGTTAGTGACGACGAAGGATGCGCGACTGTCGAATAACGTTAAGGTAGCTCGTTACTTGTCTCGATTTCCGTTTCGGAAGTAGGCAGCGCTGTCAATCGGACTGTTCCGAATGTTCAACTAAACAAGATGGCTAGCCGAAAACTCAATACTCTCGAAGTTAGACATGACAATACTGATACACATAGATTTTCGTTGGAATTGAAACCTGCTTGCCTTGTGAATGTTCCGAACAACGTTACGAAATTAAAGTATCGGAGTTCCACTAGTGCGGAAAATATTTGGCGACATATCAAAGCGTCCGAGATTCGCCAATATGACGCATACGATTACGGTAAAATTACAGTTCAATAGCTGCTACTAAAACGGCAAGAAGGTCGAAGAGTTTGAATCGATAAGCGCGAAAACCTCGAGGATATCGGGCTACCTAATCTCTTTACCGGAGAGAAAACACAAGATCCACTGTTTCTTAACATTTAGACAATCCGAGATCGCGTTCAGACGAACGATTCCTACAGTGAATGTGAGCAAATGCTGGCGAGTAAAGACGAGCAGCTGCATAGCACGATCACCAGGCTTACCTACGATCGAGTTATCCCTCCTCCTCCCTCTCCCTCTTTCTCCCTCTCTCTCTCTCTCTCTCTCTCTCTCTCTCTCTCTCTCTCTCTCTCTTTCTCTGCTCTGTCTCGGTCTCTCTGGGTAGCTAGGGCACTAGTTTGCCCAAGTGTATTGTTCCGAAATAAAGTGTCTATCGCCGTCTGCATGGAACTGTTGTTAAACAAAATCATAATCTCATAGTAACTGCTCGTTTAACCGGCACGTTTCAGGAATAAAAAATTGTTTCATGTCGAAAGATATATTCGTAGTCGAGAAAAATCGTTAGCCAATCAATCGAACGAGTAAAAACAAAGCTATTTAGTCACTATAATTGTGCTAAACGCGACTACTGTCAGGTATACTCGATTCTAAATAATCGAAGAAAGTATACGCAGAAATAGCGCATGCTGCGAACGCTAAATATGCCACGTGACGCCCACAGAAGTAATTATGGTCGACAACACGTCACTCGTTACGTAAACCGTGTCACTAACGTAGAATGACAATAAAATTTTCACCAGCCTGATATTACGAGAAAATCTGCCGCCTCTTTCTCTCTCTCTCCCTTCTCCTCCTCCTCTTCCTCTCTCTCGCCGAGTTATTTCACGATTCGCGGTGACACCGAGATAAAAAGCGACGAACTCCGCTTGCCTGTCTACACGCGGAATGCCGTAAAATCTCTCTTGCCAGAACTACACAAGATCCGAGCTAGACGGAGTCGTGCTCGTTTGTCGAACAATGGCGACTGCATGTAATAATGATAACAATAATTGCGATCACTTCCCCAAGTACGCGAGCTACGATGGCGACGGGAAAGAGGTACGATCTCTCGTAATTCGTAAGAATGAAGCTCAGCACCAAGGGAGTCGACGATCTTTCTCGAGTTGCGTTCCAGACGCGAATCCGAGAGGCGACGAAAGACTTTACTCCGGAACAAATCTCCGAGCCTTTAATTCGCTTGGACAGGCACCTCTCGATTGAACGGTCACGATTGGCGCAATTGTCGGTTCCTTTCTAAAATTATCACGGACAGAGAGAGAGAGAGAGAGAGAGAGAGAGAGAGAGAGAGAGAGAGAGAGAGAGAGAGAGA